ACTTTCAATGGAGTTTTTAATCTCCTGGAAATCTGTTTGCATCTGTTTTATGGGTTCCGTTTGCTTCCTATGTTGGGATTCTGTCATGTCCTCAGCTCCTCTATTTTTTATCTGTGTCCGCTCTAGATTTATTAATCATGTCTTGTACTATGGGCACAATCTCTCCTCTTTTCCGAGAAATTATTTCTGATTTCATTTTTTCCAGATCCTCTTTCATTGCCAGTTCAGGGAGTCCAGGTGGTTGAGTATCAGAGTATCTCATCTAGTTTCCGCTTTGGGGTTGCTTTAGGTGATCTGGAAGTCTGGTTTTGAGACTTGTTTATGTTTCTTCTCATTTGAATGGGGTAATGGTGTGCTGTTGTCACCTCTTCGGCACTGGGTGGGGCTCTGCTCCTCTGCACTGGGGGAGATGTTATAGCAGCCTGAAAGGCTTAGCCATGTGTCATTTAATGATGGGGACAGGTTCTGAGAAGGGCATCATTAGATGCATTTTTTTTTCATCGAGGGACTTCATAGAGTATTTCTACCAAGCTAAGACAACTGTGATGTCACTTAGTGGTATTATTTCATGCTACCTTTATTACATAAGCACCCTGTTATCTATGTAAATATCAATATGTAGCACAGGACAGTTTTAGAAATATATCCTGTGTTACATGTCAGGTGACATACACCTAGGTATATCAACCAGCTGACTATTGCAGAAGCCAGTATTTGCCCCCCAGGTGATATGCCTCCCGAATCTTTGCTCTTAACATTTGTAAAAGGTGAAACAAGCACTAAAGACAATAATTAAATACATTTGATTGGGCAGCATGGGAGGGAGGTTCTACAGAGCCTAGTTCAGTATAGAAAATTTTAATGTCTGGTTCTAAGATTTGGTTTTTAGGGTAAACAGTACAGGAGCATACAGTAGTCTTTCTGGGTATTGTATTATATGAGTGACTACCTCACTGTGACACTGATTTGTTATTTATTTAATCAGCATAATGCTTTACATATGAACACATACCTGAACCTGGTGTTTATTACATTATATTAGATATGCCTGTAATTTTGGATCTTCACTTTTTGCATAAGATAGCTGTTTCTTTCTCAAAAAAGTGTATCAGAGTTGTTCTGAACAGTTAAGATAGTGTCTATTTCTGTTCTCTGTGTGTCACATGTATGTGTTTATAAAATATATATAAAAGATTGGCAGATTATTTAATATATATTTAATAGTATATATTACTGTAATATGTACCCTATTTGACCTTGTAAAAAATAAAAGTTAAATTACTAAACATTAATCTTCTTGAGTAAGGACTCTTGTAAAAATTTTTTACAATATGTATCAAAGTATTTTCAACCATCTATTTGTGTATACAGGTGTGTATGTGTGGGGGTGTGTGTATTGTTCCTGTCGCTAATTCAGATCTTAGGAGAGGGTGCAAACCATTATTTATGGCCACATGTTTTGTGTTTTGTCCTCCCCTTGTACCAGTATGGACATGGACTTAAACGTCAGATACTGTCAGATATCTATCTGATTACTAAATAAGATGATAATCCTGGAATAGTGATAACTCCTTGTAATTCCTAAAACGTTGACTTGTACCCAGTTCACATGAAGTAATTCTTTTTTGTAACTACAGTTACAGTAATTGTATGGTACCAGATGCATTAGCTTCCCACCAGTGTGACAAGTACTAAGATAATTGACTTGAAAGAGAAAAGTTATATTTTGACTCTCAGTTTTAGAGGTTTTAGTCTGTAATTGGTTAGCCCTATTGTTTTGGGATGTGGCAGCAGCATATCTTGCCAGGAGAAGTAGAAGTGATCATTTTGTGACTGGGAAGTGAAAAAAATGGGAGTTTCACAGTCACCTTGATATCCACGGGCCCAGTGACCTAGAGAGGCTCCACCTCTCTCCACCTCTTAACAACTTCACCACCTCCCAAGGACAGAGCTGCAGACCATCCCCTCTACTATGGGCTTGGAGGGACACTTTATGATCCAGAGTACTGCAGGACATTTTACTTATACAATCAAACTTCTAAAACTTGATATCCAAGAATGTAATGTACAATGAAAATTTAGGTACAGAAAGATCAGAAACATTTTCTAAGTCAAATAAAAACTCAAATCACTTTTTCAACTTTTCAAGTTATATTTTCAGATCCTTTGATGCTAGTCTCAAAGTAAAAGTATACTTTAAATTTCTGAATATAGTTTAGCGATACTTCTTAGAGATAAGTTGTTTCTGTGCTATCCAGCATTGCCAATTCTGTCTAAACTTTCATGGAAGAAGAGACATTATCATAGAAAAGAAGCAGATGCAAACTGTTTGTGTTAGGAAATGTTCCATGGATTGACAGGAGCAATGCTTTGTAACATCTGTACATTGAACATAATATTTCTTCAGTAAGTGTGGAAAGCTTCCTCTCAAGTGAGTAATTTAACTGCTGTGTACTTGGTTCCAGGTTTCTTAGTGAGCAGGAGCTCCTGTCACCTTGTGTGAGGCCAGGAGTGTACAGAAGGCCACCTCTCAGGGCAGTGTGAGGGAGGGGAAGGGAGGAAGCCTGCTCTCTGTGTGCACTTGCCTGCTTTTCCCATCAGGCTCCATGGTTCATAGCATGTTCTTTGTTTTGTTTTCACAGTACTGAGGATTGAACCCAGGAATATTCTACCACTGAGCTACATCTGCAGCCCTCTTTTAAAACTTTTTTGGGTGATAAATAACTGTCCTTTTCCAAAACACTTTCTGTCTGATATTAGTGTCAATAATGACTCTGATAGCAAGTAGCACTACCTTTTAAATTGAAAAAAATCACCTATTCTGAAAAAAAAAATAGAATTGATCCTAACTGATAGATACTTGTGGTAAACAGAATAATGGCCCCCCATGTCCCTATCCTAATCTGTAAAATCTGTTACATATAAGGCAATGGATAGTCAAGGCTGCTGGTTAGTTGTCTATGAGGTGAGAGTATTCTGGTTTGTTTTGATTGGCCCAGTGTAATTCTATGGTTCTTAAAAGTGCAAAGACAAAAAGAAAAACTAAATTTTTACTTGAGGTAAAGCATATCTGTAAAAAGAGTACATTCTAGTTTTTGGATCAGATTTTATAAGACTTTTGACCTAGGTTCTTTATGTTTGTCTTCCAAATTATGTGAATTGCCATAGATGTTTAGCAGCCCTTTCATTCATGGAATTATTGATATTAGTGTTCTTAAAATATTTTATTGTAAGTACAGATGGGAAGATGATCATACATGCATAAACAATGAACCTTGATGTCACTTAACTCTTATATTTTCTCTGTCTTTACTGAATTATTTATGACTCTTTGGAGCTGTCTTATAGCGTAAGTAACTTTCTCTCCAGCTTGTTAACATTGTTTAATTTTTCTCTTTAATCTGCCATTTTGCATTTTGACTGACAACTCTTCCACCTGAAAAGTGTAGTTATCACATTGCTCCTGCTTGCTTTTCATTTAATCTTGTGGTTCTTAAATATTTCATGTAGTTATTTGATGTTTTATATCTCTCAATTGCAGTATATAATCTGAGGGTGTTAAATCTCTGTGGGTTGGTTTTCTTGATTCTCATTTTTAATAACTGTTTCCTTTTGTTTTAAGGTGTTTATTCTATAAGCTCTCCTCTCACATTCTTCCTTCTTTTTCTCTCCATATTTATTTTGTTCCTTTCCCTCCCTCCCTTGTTTTATTCCTTGTGAGCCCACCAATGTATTACAGTTTTTATATTGCACCCATGATTAAGTTTTACTGATGCAAGACTCTCAAAGTACTCTCATCCCACCATAGTTTTGGAATGAAAAGTATGATACAAAAGATTTCCTCAGGAAAGGATTTGTAATTTGTTTTCACCAAGAGGCATGGCATGCCACCAACCTAGAGCAAATTTAGTACCATTTGATAGTCCAAGCTTAATGCTGAAATATTAGGTTAAATTCTAGTTTTAAGGGAGTCAAAGTTTAGACTCCACATACCATGTAGATATTATTCTCAACCCAGGCAGGAGCCTGTCTTTTTTATGCACTTAATGACTATTGTTCCCTGTTCTGGTCTCAACTCTTTCCTTCCTCCTCCTGGGTTTTTTCTCCCTTCCATCTTTTCCTTATTTTTTTTTCCCTTTCTTCTTTTCTTTTCCCTGCTTGGAGATTTTCTTTATCTCTTTGTATGCCCAAAAGTGTGTTACAATTTTGATGTTTTATTGTTTCCATGATTAATTATATGGTGGCAAAGTTCTTTCAGAGTCTCTAATAACCAATTATAGTGGTGAAAGTGAGATTATTCTCTCTGCTAACTACTGCAAATTCATTAAGATTTTTCCTTTTTAAAAATTATAATAGGTAAAATGAAATATTTGCTAATTTGCAACAATATTTTGAGCATTTAGAATCCCCAGTCTCAAGTACATTTGAAAGAGAACAGCATAAACTAATAAATACAAATAACTTGCCTATATATAGAAAATTACTGACTAAATATATTTTATATGCATTAATTATTTCTTCTGTAGAGAAAAGAAAGATTAAACAAATCTCTAGTGCTGTGAATACACTAACAGAGTGTTTGGGGATTTAACAGGTCCAGAGGACGATAGCGAAGCAGATTCAGATGGTGAAGCAGATTGGAAAGGGCCGCTATGGGGAAGTCTGGATGGGGAAGTGGCGCGGTGAGAAGGTGGCCGTGAAAGTGTTCTTCACCACGGAGGAGGCCAGCTGGTTCCGGGAGACAGAGATATACCAGACGGTGCTGATGAGGCATGAAAACATTCTGGGTGAGAGAAGTCTGTATGGCAATGTGGGGGTTGCTAGCATTCTTGTTTTTCTGTAAACATCTGAATATTAATTCATCTGCCTAAGCCATTATGGAACATATATAAGTTTTCTTCTTGGTGTCAGCCCAAGAGCCTCACAGGATGCTAGTGGGAAACCACATAGGAGGAATGAACAAGGCACTTCTGCAAATGGGTGCTGGGAATGGGGTGCTCTCAGATGTCCTTTCTTCAGAGACAGGAATTGCTAATGCCATACAAGAGTTTCTAAAGCTTTCTTAGGGATTTGAAGGAGCATATTTTTATTTAAATGTTGTGCAAAGTTAGAAGCATTTTATCGGTAGGGTTTATTTATGGCAAGAATTTGTGTTGGAAATTGATTTACTTCTTATTTTCCCTGGCTAGATATTTGCCTGGATTATTCAAGTGGAAGAGGGGAAAGCTAATCAGTGATGTGTATGCCTTAAGACAGTTTTATAAACAGCGTCTCACATGTAACTGTAATACCGTAAAGGAATTTATATATCAACTGCTGATCAGAAAGTGGTTCTATTTTTGGATACAAACTCTTAATCTTTCTGTATCCCTACAATTTTGTTTTCCTCTAGTTGGTATTCATAATTTTACACCATCATAGGCATAATCAGGAAACAAGGTGAATGCTGGACAGAAGACATCTATCAAGAAAGAATGATATTTTAGAGTATGAATTATTCCTGATTATATTTCAAAAATACCTTCAATCCTTTTATTTTTTTTACTTTTAGGGTTCATTGCTGCAGATATCAAAGGGACAGGGTCCTGGACCCAGTTGTACCTCATCACAGATTATCATGAAAATGGCTCTCTTTATGATTATCTGAAGTCCTCCACCCTGGACACTCAGTCGATGCTGAAATTAGCTTATTCCTCTGTCAGCGGCTTGTGTCACTTACACACTGAAATCTTTAGTACTCAAGGCAAACCAGCTATTGCCCATCGAGACCTCAAAAGTAAGAACATCCTGGTGAAGAAAAATGGAACTTGCTGTATAGCAGACCTGGGCCTGGCTGTTAAATTTATTAGGTTAGTATCAGAATGAACAGATATGCTTCCTACGATTCTTTGCCGTCACTTTGTGCAGATGTTATGCACATTCTGTAGCTTGGTGCTCTGAGGTCTATTTAGTAGGTGAGGAGTTCCATTCATTTCAACAACTTCTTGGAAGGAAAAAATGCCACCAAATATTTTGTTTGTAACCCAATGTGTTTAGGTCAGTGCTCTTGTTTCTGTGCTCCATGGTGACCGGGCTTAGAGACTGTTCACGTTCGGTTTGTAGCTGACAGGAAGCTGAATAGAAGAAGTGGGGAATGCTTGGGAACTTGGGGTCATAATTCCGCATAACATGTGACAATGGGAAAGGATTCATGAGAGCACTGTCAGGTCCACAGACACTGCTTCCTGTGTGGTATAAGAGAGAGAGCTTGCATAGGTGTTTTGTGAGAAACGTTAGAAATTGATAAAACACAGCCAGTATCCAGCAGTATCGTACTGAGGCTTAAACCGTGGTTGGAACACTTGGGCTCAGAGACCAAAAAGTTCTGACAGTGGTGTTCAGATTCCTGTGGCCCCCAAGGTGACAGAGCCTCTGCACAATGAAGAGTGGACAGGCCAGTGCTGGACTCTATTTTACTCACCTGCATTTTAATCAGAGTAGCTTCTTTTCTCTCCAGCGTTATTTAATGAGAGGAAAAGTACCTTTGTTCTGAAAGCAAAATGTACAGAATGAGTTTGTGAATGGCATGCATTATAAAAATAGAACTACCTCTTTATAAAACTCAGTTTAGGCTCATCCTTTATTACATGGTTGGACCCTCTTTTGGATTTTTTCCAAAGAGAACTCCACAGCATATGGAGAAAGGCACAAAGGAGAAGTTATGGAGATGGTTAAGTGTTTGGAACATAAAATTAACAGGGAAGAACTGAGGAGTTAGTATTTTACTCTGCAGGTAAAGGCTGAAGTGTTATTTAATAATGGACTCCAAATATTTGAGTCTCCACCATTTAGAAGATGGCAAATTGAAGTTCTTGATCTTTAAAAACAAAGCAATGAAAAAGAAATGATTTGCTCTACAGATATGTTAGAAAATATGAACCTCTTGCCAATAAAGATTTTTAAACTCCTTTTCCCTTTTGGGTTTGTTTTTTTTTTTTGTACTGAGGATCGAACTTGGGTCCTTGTGCTTGCACAGCAGGTGGCAAAACCACTGAGCTACATCCCCAGCCCCTCTTTTTTTCTTTTTTATGACCTGCAACCCTTATCACATCTCCTCCTCAGAAACTCACCATGCTTCCCAGATAAGCAGCCTCTTCCTCCTCCCTTGTTCTTCACTCCCCAAAAGGTAATCTGCTTTTCCAGTCTGGTCATTTGTAATGGCTGTAAGTTTGCCTTCTGCTCCGTTCTCTCCTGACACTACTTTACTAATGGCAGCATGGATCTTTGGTGCCAGAGCCTTCTCTTCCTGCACCCTGTCCTCAGTCTGGGCCTTTCTCAGCTCTGTTCCTGAGGTGCCTTTGGTGGCTCAGGCTTCCACCTCTCTGCACTGGTTCTGCTCATCTTTTCCTATCACACGCTTTCCCCCTGTGAGATTTCCTGCTTTTCTTTCCAGTTCTCAGTCTTGCTGCATCCATTTAAAGTGTGGAGTGCCTAACATCGTCCTTCGTTCCCTAATTCCTGGTTTTCCAAACTAAATGAATCTGTCTTCATGACATTCCCACTTTACCTAGCCAGGCTGGCCCTCTGCACCATTTTTCCGAATTCTGAGGTAATACTTCTGCTTTCCCATCTTTTCTACATGTACTGCCAGATTTATTTTCTTGATGCCTACTTTTGGACATCATTTTAACTTAACCCACAGATTTGGGTTAAAGTGTAGGTAGAGTCCCTTGGTGCAGTAGATTCTTTGCTGGCCCTGCCCTATTTCAGCCTTGTTCCACCTCACCATTTACCATTTGCTGTGTTTCTTCCGAACACTTTGTACTTCTCACATTCTCGGGTATTTAACAGGCTTTGTTATTACCTGGACACTCGTATCCATTTGTCCGTCTAAACTACTAATGCTCTTCACAGTTCCCTCCTTAGAGACATCTTGCTGTCTAACAAGTCTGATTTTTAATCTAGTCACACCCTCCAGTGGGACCCTCTGCTTATTATCGTGACATTTCTTACACTTTCTAAGGCAATCATTGATGACAAATCTATCAATTCCAGTGTAGAGTAAGCCCTTTGGAGGTACATAACATGTATTTTTCAGGTTTGCATCCCGTTTTCTTTCCCATTACTAAGATGGTGCTTAACATTTTTATATAATGGATAAACAAATGATTCCATTTAGACTATAAGACTAAGGAAAAAGCAACTTTTCCTAGCTCCAGAGAACCTATACATGCTGGACTAAATTTGCCTTTCCCATTTTATAGTCTACCAATTCTCCAGTTTGTATGCTTTCTTTTGCTAAACTGAACTGGTGTTTTTTCCTTATGTACCCCATGTTTGCTATAGTCTTGCTTGTGATTCCACAGTCTAGATCTTGGGATGTCCCTGCCTCTGTGAGTGCCTTAATCCGGTTTCAGGGTTCCCTCCAAGTCACTTCATTTGTCCCCCAGTGAAGAATAATGGCACTCAGTTCTTCACTTCTCTCGTCATTTCCTGACTGTTTCCTGTCTGCCTGGTATTACAATTATTTCGGTGCATGCCTTGTCTTTCCTATTAGTCCTTAAAAGCAGGAGCCACACCAGATTTAATAACTTATTTCCCATTTGACCTCACATAGTCACTCATTGTAAGTATTCCTACATCATTTTAAATAAATAAATGTAGGCAATAGCAAAGGAATTGAGACCCATCTTCTCTATAGACCTTAAAGAGAATATCTATTATATTTCTGAAATTAATCCTCTCAAGTTTTATGTAGGCCCATCTCCCAGGTAGTGGAAGGGATTCCTTTAAGGGATAATTCAGTGACATTGGCTGCTGGTCGGGTAGGAAAGGGATGAGATGATGTCTCGGATGTTGTCTGCACAGATTCACCTAGATACAGACTGCCTGGCAGACATTGGTCTATCAGGCCTCAGTTTCCTATTCCATTAAATAGAGGTTGCATTTGATAATGTCAGAGGTCCATTTCATATTTTTCTCTTCTACATTTTAAAGTTTGTACCTCCTAGTTTTTAGCCTAGCTTTTAAATAAATCTTGCTGTATGTTTCTTTAGTTTTCATCCTTGTCCTGACTGTTTCATGTATGTATGTGTGTGTGTGTGTGTGTGTGTGTGTATACACGCACAGGTGTTTAGAGTATTTTATTTCAAGTGGAGTCATAGCAAACAGTGCTGCATTTTCAGACTTCATAGGTGAACATCCTGTGAGAACTTTTTTCCCCTTAATTTCTACATGGTGTTAACTGTTCTCTTAGGCTTTTAAATTATTATTTATGGAAGGTTCCCAGGGAAGGAGAGAGAGAGAGAGAGAGAGAGAGAGAGAGAGAGAGAGAGAGAAGAGAGAGCACTAAGATGGTGCCTCAGAGGTTTCCTGCCCATACAACTTGTTTCCCTGCCTTGGTTTCTCCCTGCACTCTTTTGAAAATGATGTAAGCCCCAGCTCATTTCCTGCTCCACTGAGATTCCCCTCAGGCTGTGCCTGGCAGACAGCACCATTACCCTACCTCTCCCTTGGGAGGAGAAAACAGTGGCGCATGAAAGGCCTTGCAGCTTTTTACGTTTACCTCTGGAAGATCAAGCAGCCCCTCTGGTACTTCAGTGTCAGAATAAAATATTTTCCTAGGGGGACAATAAATCCTGGCCCAGGTTCTTTCTGGGATTAAATTTTAAACAGGAAAAGCTACAGCGAAGACTAGACTGGTGTACACATCTCCTGACTGGTGAGTGTCAAACTGTCTGATTACTGAAGAGACGGGTGGCCTAGCCCAGCGGATACTGAATTTCCTGAGTCCTTCCGATGCCGTTATTTTTGGCACTGCTTTTGCTTTATTCACTCACAGGGTTGTTTTTTAAAAAATGGCAGAGCTGAATGACTTGCAGAGGTCACAGAGCTGAGCTCATTAGCGACCGTCAAAGACTCTGCAGCCAAATCCACCTTCTATGAAAGAGTTGTTAGCTGTAAAGTTCAGTTTCTGACAAACCCTGAGATTTCTCAAGACTTAAGCAGAGTAAGATTTCTTGAGACTTAAGCATGAACCTGCATGAAAAGAACTGCACCACTCTGCACACGGGAGCATTTCACTGGGCAGAGGGCAGTTGGGATAATAAACGTATTAACATTCAGCTTGTGCTGTCACTGTGTACTGATGCCCTAAAGGAAGTGAAGGATCGACCTCTCCCTTGGGAGTGCTGTGCTCCCACCATCCTCTCTTCAGTGTGTCTGCCTGGCACCTCTGGGTGGAAGAGGACCTTGGAGTCTTGACATGGCCCTTCCTTTCTTTGTGCTCTGGCTTGGCGCCATCCTACATCCAAACAGTGTCAAAGTGCCCTCCTTTTTTCCCTCTCCCACTCCAAGCAGTAGCCCAGAACCCTCGCTCCCTTCCTGTCCCCCCTGGGTTGGAAGAGCCACTTGACGCCCACACTGAGGAAGCTCGTTGGTCATCAGTGCTCTCTTATTCCACCATGATGATGTTTTGTATGGCCACTGCCAAATGAGCGATTTTGGTCAGAAATAGGACCTTAATTTCCTGGCCTCTTGAAGTATGGCTACCTGAGAGCAGCCCTGCATTTTGAAATTCAAACACAATTAGACATTAACATCCCATTCCTCCCTAGTGTGGTAAGGAGTGGGGCATTCTTCACAACACGCGTGGCAATCCTGAGGAGCTTGCTCCCTCTCTGGCACATCAGTCTCTTACATTTCTCACATATGTTGTACATTTTCCTCATAATGTAATTGCTGACACATTGTTTTTCCCAAACCACCACTAGGCAAGGGCATCTTTACTGGGAGTTACGTTACATAAATTTTAGTCCTGACATTCATGCCACCAGTTTTCTTCCTGTCTATTTTCCATCTCAATATCTCTTGATCTTAGGCTAGCAGGAAAGACCTATCTTCTCCCTAGCTGAGGGCCTCATATCCCCATCCTCACCTGATTGCATTTATTTTTCCTTACTCAATAAACTGTAAATATTTTTTATTTTATCCGGTTCCAGCCCCACTGTCCCTAATTTTTATGAAAAATATCTTTTTTTTTTTTTTTTTTTTTTGTACCAGGGACCAAACTTGGGACTTTGAGCTTGTGAGGCAGGTGGCAGAACCACTGAGCTAAATCCCAAGCCCCAAAATATCTATTATTAAAGTTTGATTCTGAGACAAAGCTTTCATCTCTTGGAGAGGAATTTATGTGATATCCCTTGTGTTATTCAAATTTTATTTTTAGTTTCTCCCAAGCCTACCAAAGTCTGCATCTCATTGGTACTCATGTTAACAGGAACAAAAGCCCTGTTGGGTCTAATGGGAATATTAATTGTAAAAGTATAGCTGGGTGGAATGATCCATTCCTGTATTCTCTGAACCCTCCTCTGCAGTCACAACTCCTCTGTGCTGGGGTCTCTGACCTTGCATCATGGGAAAGGAGGAGGCCCTGCTTCCCTGCGTTTAATGCAAAATCCACTTTTCTGACAGGACGCTCTCAGCTCTCCTTGGTCAAAACTTGACTTTTCTTGTCCAGCTTATAGATCACTTTGGATCATTAGAACCTTAGCCCCATAACCTGTCTCTTAATACTTAAAATATACCTTCGTTAGTTCCTGATCCTATTGGGTTCTTTTTGCACACGCACACACACACACACACGTGTGTGTGTGTGTGTGTGTGTGAGACAGGCATTTATGATATTATAAATATACAGAAAAGTATTTTTAAAAGACACCTATATAATCATTTAATATTAACAAATATTAACAATTTGCCTTCTGTCTAGTCTTTTTAAAGAAAGAAAATATTGAATCCTCTTTTATTGCCTTTTGTCTCTCCCAGAAGTGTAACCAGTATCCTGTGTATATCTTCCGTGTATGATTTTAGAATCTGACTACAGAGTTGCTGGGCTGGGGGTTATTTCCCCACCCCTCTGCTACCCTGACCACTCCTGCTTCCCTTTTTCCCCTCGAACCCTTCCTCCTGTTACACTTTACCCTCTTCTTGAACACAGGACACCAACTGACTCGATTTTATCTTTTTTTTTCCTTCATTATTGATGCCCTAGTGTTAAATCAGTTTAATTTCCATTTTGGGCCTTGAATATTAACACAGACTCTCTTTTACACTATTACAAGAATAGTATTACTCAACTTGAGAACAGGTAGAATGATGTTATGAAAACCTAAGAAAGAAATGTAGCTTAATTACCCCATGTGTAGAAATACACCTGAGGAAGAAGGGGCAGAGTTGTGTGTCTTAAGAGAATCTGTCGAATTACAGAGTCAGACATGAATTACATGTGTCATTAGCATGTTTGCTGTTTAAATGTAGTGCTAAAGTCATTTGCTATTAGATTAAAAGCAATCTTTGACAAAATTAATTTCTCAACAGAATTTTAATTATCTTTACAGATATTGATAATCTCATTTTATGGCGTTTATATAACAGATTTTTATATTTTGAATTATCAATTGCAAAGATTACTGTAAATGGGCTTTTTCCTTCTTTTAGTTAAAGTAGATTATTTTCCTGCCATGTGTAAGACACACCTTGAGTGGAGGGCTATACTCTTTAGGGACATACCAAATGATTATAGCAGATACTTGGAGCTCAAAGGGATTAACTAGGAAGACAGATACATATCTATTCAAATACTAATACAGAAAATATACATTCAGATACCAGGTACTCCTAGGAAGGATATTATTCAAATGCCACTAGGAAAAATACCTTGGGTGTAGAGGAAGGGGAGGAGAAATTGCAGTGCTGAGCTTCTGTGGTTGTGGAAGGAACTGGTTTTCTGCACTTGATGGAACTTTAGAATCCTTGATTATAGAGAGTTTTCTAATCCCTGCCCTTTTACAGTGATCAGAGCAGAAGAGTTTAGAGATGACCTCAATGGTGGTAAACTTATGGCATAGATGGTAATGTATGAATTGCTTTTTCTAAACTAAAACCTGAGTGTTCAGGTTTAATTGCAGTATTGGCACTTTGTGATAAATATGTGGGTTTAGGGTTGTACTTTGGGCACTTATCATTAAGCTGCTTCTCAGCACACTTTCCTCCTCTACCATCTGCTACTTAAGTTGTGTCACCTGGTAAATTCTGAACATTTATGTTTTAACATCTTTTCCTGTCGTAGGCAAGAGCCCAGGGCTCTAAGACCTGTCTTTGCAGAGAGTGAGGAATAACTGCTGTTTATTTTTTTTTTAATTTACATATTAGCTCTTATTTTGGAGAAATAGACTGTTACTCCTGGAAAACCACAGAATGCCACTGACTATGTTGATGATATGTCTGTCAAAATGGTTTTAGTTAGGGATTTTAGCTGGAAATGAATACTAAAAGGTTCTAAAACTGAAGCTTTATGCTTAGGTCTTAGTGAATATAAATCACCTTGAGCTAGGCTAAGGGACATGTGCCACATCCTGAATTTTCCCAAATGACACTACATGTTTCATGTTTTAGTAGAGTATGAGTCAATAAGAGATCAAACCCAGTTTTTTTTTCCAAAAAGTACTGGTTAAAAATTTGGTATTGATTATCTGTGACAAGCATAATACATGTGTTTAATACATGAACCTGCTTCCTGTGTTGAGAAATAACATGTTAATAACTGAGAGTCAACAGAGTATGATGAAAATAAAAAAATAAAATATTCTTGGGATTCATGGGGTACAAAGGCATAGCCATTTTTTGTAACCTTTTGCTTAATAATGAGGTTTCATATTTTTCTGTTTTATAGTTTCATCATCTATCCCACCTGGGGGTTGTTGTGTGTCTTCTTAGTCCTTTTTCTTTCTGATGTAAGAACCTAACACATGCCTGATACTGTGTGGTCAGGGGTTTTACCCATCTCAGTAGTCAACCTAGCAGCTCAGCAGTCTGCAGACTCTGTCCCCAAACTCACTGGGCCGAGGTGCTGGCCGCCTTGTGCCTGTCTGCAATCAGCTGCCCCTCCATCCTTCGTCTTCTCCCACCCCTTGCCAAGTAATAATAAATCACCTGCATTGTGAAGTTCTCAGAAGGCTAGAGACACTACATTCCATCACTTCTTCCCTCCTTTTTAAAAAACTAAATGCCATTTGGGTCACGAAACATCATTGATAATAGAAAGCATTGTTATATGTCCTTTGTTGTCTAGTAAAATATTTACAGGTCTTTACTGGTCCTCTTCTTTTAAAAAAAATTATTTGTAGATATAAAAGCCTTATAATACCTGGCTTTAAAAATACTGTTTTGGGCTGGGGACATAACTGGTAGAACACTTGCCTGACCATGCATGAGACCCTGGGTTCACTTCCCAGGTCTCAAAAAAAAAATTCTGTCTCTTAAAATATAAAGGGGATGGAGGTACCTTGTAGATATTTAGCAAAGATTTAGTGTAAGTTTGATCCTGTAATAATGAAATTTTACATGTTACAACTTCATTCTGATTTAGTCTCATCTGCACTGGGTTTTTACCTGTGACCATTTGATACAGCTTTTGGTAGGCATCATGTTCTGAGGAAATGTTGTTATTCCCTGAAAGGATTTTGTTTCCCACTTTCCACTAAAGCCCTTGAATCACCTCAAGACGTCACTTGTTTGTCCTCGTGAATCCTGATAATGTTTTGCTCCTCTTTCCTTAGTGACACGAATGAAGTGGACATCCCGCCCAACACGCGGGTGGGCACCAAGCGCTACATGGCCCCGGAGGTGCTGGATGAGAGCCTGAACAGAAACCACTTCCAGTCCTACATCATGGCCGACATGTACAGCTTCGGACTCATCCTCTGGGAGGTTGCGAGAAGATGCGTTTCAGGCGGTAAGAAACAGTGCGGGGTGGGGGGTGGGGCGGGTACTGGAAATCCTTTCTGATCGGAAATCAAAGGCATCATGTTGTCTGCAAAAGCAGGGTTTCTTTCATTTTCCTCTTCATTTCTGCTAATGCAGTTATAATCCTCCCAGGAAATGATATTTGACATATTACAGTCATCTTTTACTTCGTTCCTTGCGCCTATTACCGAGGAACATCTGCCAGACACACCGTTGACTTTACCAGTGTCAAGATCGCCCTCTGCTGGTGTGTGTCATCGCATTTCTGTTCTTGGGCTCTTCTTCAGTTGCTCCATCAAGCCAACCCATTGCCTGCCCTTCAGCCTGCTTCTTACTACCTTTGGGCCCATCTTCAAACCCTGCATCCCTTCTCTTGATATTGCCTCTGCAGTGACGGCCATAGAGACATAAATGTGGGGTGCACATGCTTATTCCTTACCTCCCCTACTTCTTTATTCTTTGCAAAACCTCCCCATAAAACACTTTGGAAGCCTCAGTTTTTATCAAAAGGAAATTAAAGCATCAGAATAGTCTTATCACCCATGATAATTTTTCTATAAGCAAAAGGATTCCCTAATAAGACCAAGTATAATCAATAAGAAAATATCCTTAAATATCCCAAAATTTTATTGCTTGTACTATTTTTTTATTTTTGTACCGGGGATTGAATTCGGATCCTTACGCTTGCAAGGGAGACTACAGAACCACTGAACAAAATCCCTGGCCCCGGCTTGTGCTGTTTTGATAGAACAACCTGCATACTCTGTCATTTTTTGTTGTTGTTGTTTTTGGTACCAGGGATTGAACTCGGGTCCTTGTGCTTGCGCAGCAGGTGGCAAAACCACTGAGCTAAATCCCTGGCCCCACACTCTGTCTTTTAGACAATTCAGCTTGTTTTAGGCAAGAAGCTGAATATTAAGCTTCTCTGTATCAAGCACAGAATATACCCTGCATGTTTATTATTGTGTTCATAAAAAAACCCCAACTTGATGCTGCTGTTGTTCCTCCTAACAGCCAGTTTACACTCTAAAAGAACACAAGTTTACCCCAACTTGTGAGAGTGCAGGGCACACATGACAAGTACTGCGAATTACTCTTGGACTGCTGTTCATTATCTGTGACATCTTGGACAAGTTGCTATACTTTTCTTTGTTTCAATATTTTCTTCAGTATGGGGTATATTATTTGTACCTACCTCAGACAGTTGTGGGCTTTGATGAATTCAATGGCCTAGCACGCAAATTATACTCAATGCATGTTAGTAATTCATGTTATTAATTTTCATTTGGGGTGGTGGAGCCATAACATATACAGATTCATATTTAAATATGAAGAAGAGACAGTCCATCAGCATTCTCAGTCATAGATGTAGAAGGATCATCATCAGTGATGCAGTGCCTTCTAATCAGCTTGGGAATCATGAACCCCTTGTAAGCAGTTTGAAATGGAACACGTTCCTTTTGAAGTGAGAAAAGTTTTGTCCAAACTGAAGTTAATGCAGGAAGTTTTCTCTAGCTAGGTATTGAATTTTGTCCCATCATAACTCTGATGAGGAAAAGACGTAAGCAAAATATGAATTGACTTATTGCCTATTTGATTTTGTGCTTTGTGAAGAGGAAAGGAGTCTATATCTAAGTAATCTTACTCTTATTAAGCTAGGTTTATAGACCTGAAAGGTAGAGATTGTTTTTCTAATGATGTTTCCCTGAACATCTAAAGCAAATAGGTACACAGGCAAGAAGCCTACACTGGAAAGCCTGTGGGCCGAGTACAGGAGAAATGATACAAACAAACTAGGTTTGTATCGACAGCAGGGTCTTGCGTGGCCAGGGTCCTTGGGGACATGAGTGGTGTCACTGCCTGAAGACAAAGTCTTTGTTCTGCCCCTCAGCTGCTGGCTTGGAGCAAGCTATTTAACCTCTTCAAACAAAATTTCCTTGTTGTAGATAGCAATGCTACCTCATAAATGTTCTCTCAAATGGCTCTCAAAATGTTTTTTCCAGAGAGGTGAAGCATAAAAATTTCTGTTCTTTAACACTTTCCTTTATAAAGATATCGGTATTTTTTGGGGGGGAGTTGTCTTTATAGTTCAGGGATTTTTGGATGTAGTAGACACAACCAGATGTAGGCCTTTCAAACTTTGGAAGGAAAAAAGAAAATGGGTTGAGGTTTCAAACACAGAGTTAAATGACAGCTTATATGGAATTTTTTGGTAACTTGTTTGTATGATATCTTAGTTACTTTTCTTGTTGCTGAGACAAAATACCTGACATCCAAAGTTAAAGGAGGAAACGTTTATTTGGCTCACAGTCTATAGAGGCTTCTGTCAACAGCCGGCTGAGTGCAGGAGAGTGGCATATGGCGGAGGGGCATCGCAGAGGAGAAATGGTCCACTGGAAGCAGGCAGGCGAGAGCACACTTGCTCTCTTTCTGTCCCTTATATCTTATGCAGGCTACTCACTCTAGGGTAGGTGTGTAACTCACACCCTTAGTCCTAGCCAGAACTATGCCAAACCAATCAGTGGACTGATTTAGTAATCACACAACCTTCATCCCAGTGTCACACACTTTAGATCCAGGGGCCTCTGAAAAGTGGCCCCCCTCATGACTGCCTGAGACTTTGGGGGACATCTAGACACAAGCCGTAATATATGATAAAGAGAAATGGGTAAGTCCTATCATTCAAAGCCAAAATTTGATTAATTCATAATTTTATGTGGTTGGCTGTGCCTGTGTCTGTTATAGTTTATATCCTGCCTCACTCTCCATCCATCAGTCCATTAATGCCACCAACATTGGTCACTGAGGAAAATATGAGATGAATTAAATAGATGCGGTCCAAGCCCTCAGAATGTTCCAGGACTGTTGTTTTGAGAGTTGGAAAGGAAGGAAGAACTGAAACAAACCAAGGGCTTCTGTGTGTCAGGCCCTATGCTTTCATTATATCCTGTGCTGAGGTAATAATGGACCCAATGGAAGTGAAGATAAACTTGGACAATATATGCTGTTATGTGCTGTGGTCACCGTAGGGTCTACAAATGATAAACAAATAATCAACTGGAGTGTTCTAAGAAAACTTTTGAACTTTCTGGTGCTTTATGATTTTACGTGGGTTTGAGACTATAAGAAAGGGCACAACACAGACCCCAGATTTGGCCCTTAGTGAATTTGATGGTGTGGGGTATAATCTGCCAACTTGATGGTCTCATCATTTTCAGGTGAAAAGCAATAATGTTTCTATAACCGTTGATTTAAGACAGGGAGCTAAGGGTGCTCTGGAAAGATGGCCCAGAGCAGCGTTGGCTTGTCTGCTGGGGACAGAGTTATTGATAAGAGCTCATCGGATAAGGTTAAGTAGAAAACTTAGTCTTCCTGCTTCTGTGATGTGCAGGAGGAAAAAACAGAAATTATCTATGAGAAAAGATGAAATGAAACACAGTTTAATACAAAACATTTAGAGGAGAAAATAAAAATCAGACAATCTTTAAACCTGAAAAAATCATGGTTCATATTTTGGGGTGTATATAATTTTCCAAAATCATTCTTATGATATAGCAGAAAGTGTAAACTGACATTTTGTTCAAGTAGGATTCACTCCTAAATTACAGTGATATTCATGGTCTCCTACGACAGTAATAGAATAGTCATGTGTCATGCAATATAAATTCTGCATCACCTTCCAAATCTGCACTGAGATTTAATAGAGACTTTTAAATATTAGTCTTTGTAAAATTAGGAATAAATGAGGTGCTTGTCTTACTTAGGTTTTAGAAATTAGAAAGGCTTGGAGACCTCTGATAATATTTTGCATTAACTTTTCTTTTTTTTTTTTCTAAATTAGATCAAGCACCATTTGAGTAAATGTTTTCAAGGTTTACTTTGTTGTTTGTTGGCCTGAACTTATCTTTAATATCAATGCTGGTTTCCTTTGACAACAATTTTTGAGTTAGGCTTGTTTCTCCACTTCACAGAAAATAATTCCAAGAACACATTTTCAGGTATTGTGGAAGAGTACCAGCTTCCCTACCATGACCTGGTGCCCAGCGACCCCTCCTATGAGGACATGAGGGAGATCGTGTGCATCAAGAAGCTGCGGCCCTCGTTCCCCAACCGGTGGAGCAGCGATGAGGTAGGCCTCGAGGTAACCACGGGGCTCCCGCTGACTTCTACACTGACTTCTCCTTTGCCAAAATTCAAGATATTCATTATTGAAATTCTTCTTTATTTTGATGGTGATGATACTGTTGCCTCATTGCAGTAATTTGTATGGAGCTATGTGCAAGGTGTCAAATCATCTTTTCCTTTCTTCTGCTGAGCTAACCTTGAGCCTGCGTAACTGATAACACTGTTTCCTTTGTCTAGGAAGTCTTGACATTTGCATATGAGCTGTTATTTCTTTCTCTGCGTGTTTTCAAACCATCCTCATTTTTCCCCATGGCAAACCCAGATACCACTTACTGCCATTTTGAGGAGAGGAAAAGCCAGGCACTGAAGAATTGAGTTTCCTATGCAGTTAAGCGATATAGGTCAGCCTAGTTGAGCTGCCTGTGCTGCGTGTCTTTGTAATGAGGGCAGTGGTATGTGACTTAAGCAAAACTGTGTTCAGCTGAAGTCTGAGGATTCAGCAATGAAGCCCAAATGGGCTGGAAGGGAGCTGCCCAGAAGGAGAAAGTAAGCTGGTTAGCCACGCCCTTCCTGCTTGGGCCTTGGGTCCCTTGCACCTTTCCTCCCACCACCATGCCTCCATGCTTACCCAAAGCCTGGAGTTCTCAACAAGGCTGGAACATTCAAGAGGAGCTTGAAGCATACCCAGCAAAAGGAAAAAAAATACTCTTTTTTTAAAAAAATACTCTTATCAAGCATGCACCAAACCCACTGCAGACAAATGGGCAGAACATGATTCACTACTTACAAGCTAATTATTCAGTGTAAAATTCATCTAAAATAACTTTGGGTTCATTGGTTTTCATGTCACATTACTGAAATGGTAAATAATATAGATGTTTTCCAATGAGCTGTTTAGGAAGCATTATGAGATGCTGGAGTTACAGTATTTTGAAGGTGGTTATGGGTGTCTGTGCTACTCGGAATCCCTTCAGTGAGGATTTTTAATGAAGTGAAATTGTGCTTCAACAAGATCAGTAATTGATAAACCATGGGAGAAAGTTTCAGCAGTACTCTGTGCAGGTCATTAATCTTCTTAAGTGGTACAGTGTTGTAGCAGACAGCTGTGATTTAGAAATAACCGTGTTTGTTTGAATAGTATGGAATTAAATAAAATATTTAAACTTAACAAGTGTTAGAAACAATCTGAGAACATGGAATAGAATACAGACTCCCTGAGTTTTTTTATATTTGCTTAATACTGTTTTCCAAGACACTGCTACAATCAGCAAAACCACCTGCTTTTTTCTGTCAAAAAGAAGACATGAAAATCCAAGTCATCATTTTGCATGAAAAAGAAGTTTTATGGAATTCCTTTTTACATGGCTTTAAGGGTACCTTTAGAAGATATATTTAGACTTTATGAGCCCAAAACTAAAAGCCACATGTCAGTACTGCCTTACAAGTAATGTGTTCCTCTGACACTGCTCCAATGTTCCTTCCCCTTCACAGTGTCTCAGGCAGATGGGGAAGCTCATGACAGAGTGCTGGGCCCACAATCCTGCATCCAGGCTGACGGCCCTGCGTGTGAAGAAAACACTTGCCAAGATGTCAGAGTCCCAGGACATTAAGCTCTGATGGAGAAGAGAGGAAGCATTTCCACCGAAGGCCGATGGGCACTCTGCACGGCACAGCTCACGATGTCACAGCATCTTCTGTGCCAGCCTTGACTGTCCGCTCGAGACTCAGACCTCAGCTCTTGGGCACAGCCAGGGCAGAGCCAGGAGCTCCCATGGGGCAGGTTCCCAGGTCTGTTGCAGGAGGGAGATGCTGGGTGACCTGTTCAAGATATCATGTATGTTGCTTTCTAGGAAAGCCTGTATTTTGGAATTGTCATTTTTTAAAAAGATGCTTTAATTTTGCCAAAATAAAATAAATATTGTAGATGTTTTAAGGTTTATACTATTATAGTTTAAAGAATTAAAACAAAATTTCATCCCAGAAACTGTGTTGGAAGGTAAATTAAACTAGTTTTTCCATTGGTAAAAATATTGTCACACCTGACAAACACAAGACAGTCGGTGAAGTTGAACAGGACTGGAAGTGATCTTAAGCCCCTGCCTGGGCCTCCTCAGACCTCTTGGACCAGCCCTGCACTGGGGCTGCCATGCAATGTGATTGTACCTGGGAAAGCTCCACCTGCCTGGGACCACACTGTGGAGTTTCTGCAGACAGCTTTTGCGGCTTCAGACAAAACGCAGTGACAAGGTTATGTGACTGTCCTTCAGTGCGGATGGGTGTTCTTCAGAGCCACTTTGCTTTCTCTGGTCATGTTAGGCAGTTCTTTGTTCTTTGTTTTCATGAAATATAAGCAAAGCCTGTTTTTTATGTGCAAAGAACTAACTTGTACATGTCTTTGATCTCTCAAACCAGAAGATCAACATTAAATAAAATTGCCATTAATTGTGTTAAAGACACGGTGCTTTAGAATAGTGCTAATCTGTGCTTGTGACGCATGAAGAGCTTGTCAGTGAGGTAAGGGAGGAGGCCGAGGGCATAGACGGCCTATTTCTTGCTTTTTTTTGGTCCTGGGGATCGAACTCAGAACCTTATGCTTGCAAGGCAGGCACCAGAACCACTGAGCTAAATCCCCACCCCATAGACGGCCTATTTCTTATATCTGCAAAGGAGCCAGTTTCAGAAGCACAAGCAAAGAAGGATGCACACCTTATTTTTTATAGATAAGGATGGTTTGTTATTGTCTTTTTTGTGTGTGTATGTGTCTGAGGGAGGCATTTGTCAGGTTAATTTCACTAAATTTTAATTTAAAAATGCACAAATATAACCTGCAGATAAAATAACAAGGGAGAGCAGTGGAGGCCATGAAATACTATGGCTGCTGTGATTTATTATTCTATAATAGACAGAGATGGACCGTGGACATCTGAAGTGATTATTTTACACTTTAGGAATGGTGACTCATCTGATTCTTACAATGTTCTATTCACAATTTATTTATTGTTTTTCCTTCTCTGTGGCACTTACGCAAAACATCTCTTTACTTACCAGGGTTTTAACTTCTGAGTACCGTGAGTAAAATCATTGACAGGCCCCATACTCCTTAGCAATGAATATATGATAAGGTTTAAAGCTATACACATCTCTCTTGATTTTATCCATTTTATTTCCTTACTATGGTTCTTGTTAGAAATTCTTCAGTACTTAACAAGGAATTTGGAAGTACTTCCCCGCTAGCCTTTGAAAAGGATAATTCCTTCCAGAATACTCCAGGGGGCAGTGTTTTCTAACACACCCAACACTCAGTGACTGCAGGATGGAGCAATTTTAAGACACTGACAGCTGTGTGAAAAATGAGAAGATACCCCCCACTCCAAGCAGGCTTGCAGCTGGTGTTCCACTCATCCAAAAGACATCCTGCAGCAGTGAAGAATCATAGCGAGAAACACATTGACTTCCCAGGGCTTCATAGCTGTATTTTGTTTTTTTACTAAAAAAGGAATTTTGAATCAGAAAGAAATTATTTTTGAGAATAAGAACAATTGGTACAAATATACTTGTAGTCAGAGCACTGCTCTTACCGATGTTCAACTAGCCTCGGTAGCAATGTAAAGGTTTCTCTCTCTTGCATGGGTTTATATTCTTTGTGACAGTTTAGATGGAATATGTAGTTAGAAATAAGTCTGAGAATTATCTGAGATTTTTGGAGAAACTTCAGTGCCTCTAATCCGATCATCTGCCAACAAGTAAGTGAACATTTATCCCAGTTAAGTGGTTAAATGGGCACATGTTGGTATTTCTTGCATTTTTCTAGATTTGAGATTGGGGTTATCTTTTAGATATAATGGTGTTTACTTTGTGGTAAGTTCTTGAACACGAACTGCTTCAAATCAAAGTATTTTGTAGGGAGGTGATGACTTAAAAATAACTAGATTTTTAGGGTTCCAGTAAAAAAAAGGAAGAATTAAAATAATAAATTTCTTCTGTATTATTCATTTGGTTGCTTTGGAAAATCAGTAGCTTACCTTCTAATCCCCAACTTAATTTACTTCACTATGAAAATTTTAAAATTATTCCCGAGATACATAGTAAGCCCCACTTAGGTAGTACATAGACTTTCAGTGAGACAAGAATTTATTTTGAATAGAATTTTTCTCTGTGTCTTACCAAAATCTGCTTTACTTAGGTAATACTGAAGTGTTCTTAAAAGACTACCTACTCACTTCCCAATAGTCTTTTATGATTTTTAAATGTCCAGCGGCTCAGCAGTGAATTTTATTTTATTACTATTTTGTTTTGTTTTAGATAAATGAGAGCCTGGAAATAAGTAAAATAGTTGATTGCTTACTTTCAGACTATTTCAAAAACTTTCTTGTAACTCCTCTCAACTAATGGAATCCTGCATTATTAGTTGTTAGGTAAAATTTGTATGCTCAGATGTTCAGGTTTGTAGCTTATGTATGTGTGTATATATTATATAAATATAGATGTATATATAAATATTATGTTCAGTCTGGAGTCTGGCACAACTCCATTATGTGGATTAGAGGGTAAAATATAATGGATGATGAAGTACTAAATGAAACATATTTATTTATGAAAGTGTGTAGATTGTTAATAAGGAGTGCAGTGCTGAGAACGCTGTGTGTGAGGAGACAGGCCTTGGACCTCCTGGAAAGCGCTGCTTGGAAGTCACCAGTGACTGTTTTTTGTGGGTTTTTTTTTTGTATTTCTCAAAAAGAAAGCTTCTTAGAAAACATGCTGAGATTTTATTTACAGGGAATTCTTTGACACATTTCAATTGGTGTGTAGTCAAGTATAGCAAGTGCTCAATAATGACTGAATTTCATGTTCCACAGTCATGCATATTCATTAGGGGTTTATGTTGCTAGTCTGTTCTGGCTCTTCTTTGTTTGTTGGTGGAGGGGCACAGAGAGAAGGACCATTTTTTAAACTTGAACATGTTCAGGAGTTACCTCCTCAGAAATCTCAGTGGTGGAAATGAAAGGAGTGACATAAAAAGCAGTTTAATTTAGCAATTATAATTCCTCTTGTAAAACAAAACGAATAAAAACTTGCTATATTTTTGGGAGAAAAGTTGGCAATATATAGGGGATTTGTTGTTTGTGTCAAAAGAAGAGCCATTTATGTTCTTTTGGGGAACCAGTGCCTTACAGAATTTGTATATACTGTAATTATTCAGGACTAGGGAACAAACAATTGTATTGTATTTGTTACAAATTGTATATGGCTTTGTTTTAACATTCCCCTAAATAAAATGGTTTTATTCTCCCTGTAGAGAAAACATGAATGCCAGCTTCTGTTTGTGCCTTTTCTTTTTGTCTTTGAAAACCTAACATTGTAACAGGCACGAGGCAGCAGTGAAGCAATGATGCAGGTAAGTGTGTGTGCTTCTGTGGCAGGAGGGCAGGAGAAATGGTCTCCCTACTTCTGTTTTCTGTGAAATTGGGAAGCACAGTCATCTGGCAAGAGTAAGAGGAAAGGCAGGGCAGTCATTGTGAACAATGATAGCTCACTGAGGAAGCAGCGGCTGGCTTGGGGCAGGCTGAGGGCCATTGAGTTCTGGCCCGCATGGCCCTGGAGTGGGCCGGACCGCAGCCAGCCTGTGTAAGAATCCAGGCTCTCGGTCTCATGGTTCTGTGCCATTAGGCTCTTCTGAGCTCTGAGACAGTTTCTTCCTGTTGAAGATGAGACTATTAGTAGGTAACACACAATACTACGTTCTGAAGATGAAATAATCCTGGTACCAAGTACCCAACTACTGCTGTTAGCAATTCTTACAAATACATAGTAACCCTTCTCTATGTGGTTTGTGATTTTGCTTTTCTGCCAGCAACTCAGTTGTAGCCACAATGAGTAGATGAATTCAAGGTTGGGGTCTATCAGTCACAGGTGGCAATACATCATGGAGCATAAGAATTATCTATATCAAAGAGCTGTGTGATAAAGGTGAGGAGGAATTGAAGCAAGGAGGCAGCTACAGACTGGAAGAAACTGGGTCAAGGCTGGAATCCTGATGAACTTGTTGAGGGCAGCATTGAGACTCACAGGGGACAGCAAGGCCAAGGACAGGTTGAGAGTGTGACCATGGGAGGGGGTGGATTTAAATGAGTGGTCGAGATCCTTGGTGACGAAAGGGACCCAAAGGCCAGACTTGGCACTGTGTTGTTTCTGCATGTTGCGCCTCTGGGATGATGACAGTCTTAGAGGAGACTGTGAAGTCGATTCTGCAAGGGGCCATAGAGAATGGGCATTACAGGGTGTAGAGAGCAGAGGCGGGCTCAGCGGTGCAATGTGCAGTGAGTGGAGTGGGGTTGTATCTGATGGTGATGACCTCGAAGCTACGGTAGGCATGAGAAATGTCCCATCCTCTCCCAGCTGTACAGGGCTTGGGGTTTGTAAGGATGACGCTATTGCTCTTGTGTCAGAAATATCCTGAGGAGGAGAAAACTCTCTGCACAAGGGGAAGGAAGGTGTTAGGGCCATTTTTCCATGGATTGTGAACTCTGGAGGGCAAGTGGATGGTTTGGTTTTGAGTGGACCCATGGGCGATTTGGGTATCCTAGAATTGTTTGGGTCGGGGGAGCACAGAGAGTTTACGTGGTGGACACCACTGAGGGACCAAAGCACTTGTGCGTGATCTGCTATGTGAGCCAAGACAATGCATTTCACTGTTGGGGTTCAGATGGAGCTTGCTCAGATCCCCTCACTTTCACCTTCCCAAATCTGCAGAAGTATAATGTCTCTGAACTCCAATCCTCTCACCTGTAAATTGGGATAAAAATACCCACCTCTACCCGCAGGGTTCTCATGAAGAACAGATGAGATGACTCCATGAAGTACATGGCAGTCCCACGCCAGCACATGGTAAGTGCGCATAAACATGACTTTTTCTTTCTGGCATTGGTTTTACTGTCCCTGGGGTCTGTGGGACTATGCAAGTTCTAGGGCAAAGGCCTGGATCCTGATGAGTTCAGCTGGTGTGTTGGTGGTTACCAGAAGAGGTGATGAGGTTGGAATCAAGATTCACAGGGGACAGCAAAAACTCAGAACAGGTTAAAGTGTCACATTATAATGTGAAACATTCTGCTCCTGCAGGGGGCCGCACCCCTGTGCTGGCAGGAATGGATGGATGTAGGGAAAGGCCACTTCTCTACTCTCCGTGACTCAGCTTGGAGACAAGCTCTTCCTGACCTGACTCTGGAAACATCTGCATGCTCTCCAAGGTGTGGTGGTATCTCAACTGGTTTCCCAACTACTGAAGCCCCAAATGACAGGCCACCAGGCTGGTCACAGGTTGAATCTGTGTTATCATATGTATTCTTTGTGAAGTACAGCTTTTGTTTGCTGTCTGATGGAATTTTCATTTTTACAGCCACAGGCCTCTCATTGATTCTATCCAGATTCACATTTACATATTTTCATTACTTCCCTTGCTCTGAACAAACACTGAAATTTGCGATCCAAGCACTGGATTTGTTTTGAGGTGCTGTCCTGCAGCCCCAGGATGGGACCTTCCCTTAGCACTGGTACAGTCGCTTACACTCTCGGCAGCCAAGCCTAGAGGAGTGGTTGAGGCCGCAGCAGTCCACCTGAGGACACAGAAAGACGGCTAAACTGACAGTTAGCTTAGCTTAGCTGCTAAGCTTAGCTGCTGCTTTCCACCTTTCCTGGAGCCTTCCACTTGCTCACCTCAAGGGAATGAGGGTCCTAAAACAAGCTGATTATGTCTGCTGGTATTCTCTACAGCTCTGGGATGGGTCATGCGCCTCACCCGTGATTTCCTACCTGACAGAGTAGGTGCTTGCAAACTTTACTTAAAATTGCACCTCCAAGGGTGGGAACCGATGCCATTTCCGAGCCCCAGGAAGATGTCAATGCAGATGTCCTAAGATGCTGGCACCCACCTGCCCATCTTCCCTGCTCACTAAGAGCACCCAGGACCTTTTCAGTCTCAATGCTCAGGCTGCACCCAAACCATTTAAACCAACCCCAAGCATAACTTTTACTTTTATATTTGGTGCTGCTGGGGATTGAGCCCAGGGCTTCATGCATACTAGGCAAGCACTCTACCGCTGCATGGGTTTTAAAATTTCACGTGATTTCAGGGTACAGCAGTGTTGGAGAAACATCATTCTACAACCTTCCCCTGTCACCGAGGGAAGTATGATTACCATCCATACAGAATTCTGGGCCTTCTATCCTACTGCAGAAACACATGATGACTTACCATGACGTAGACTGTTCAGGAGAAACAAGGGAGGCAACACTCTGTTGCTTATAAATATAATTTATTACCTGTTTAAAAATTCTTTCTTACATTTTGTACATGTTGGCTGACACAATAAATGCAGGCAATTTACAAACCAAGGGGACTGCAGGAAAAAATTGGGAGAGGCAGCCAGGGAGAGAAAAGAGGCACACCCAGAGCTGGTATCCCCCACTTCCAACACACAGCAAGGCGATGGACTGATGGGATGCCCAGCGAGCATACTACCTCTGCCAGAGAGTCTTAGAAAAGGAATTGCATAGAAGATACAGCAAGAGGGAACTCCACAGCAACAAAAGAAGTGTTCTTTAGGTGAGAAGCCAAGGTGGTGGTGGTCTACTTAAAGAAAAATGTCAAAGCACAAAACCTCAGTCTGACATTTCTGCAGCTGAACTGTTCCAAAGAAGACAGCACAAGGATGACCCAGCCTCTTCAAGACAGACTGCTGGGGATTTTTCTCTGACAAACATTGGTTGTCTTCTTTAGAAAGAGCAAAGTGGAAGGTTACCAACTTGCTTCGGCTCAACATTAAAACGCAATACATACAACACTGTGACATCTGACACACACAGTGATGATATTCCCTGCAACTGGGCTGGGGGGCAAAGGCGTCATTGCCAATAGGAGTGTGAGTCTAGGAGAGGAGCGGGTTCTAACTGCAGCCATATTTCTTTTCCAAGGCATAGAGGACTACACATCTGATATTGTATAGTACATTTACAGGTGGTGTTAATGACTTTAAAAATAAAGGGCAAAGGCATTTTCCACTGGTTGTAGATTTCTTTGTTTTTATAATGCTGTCTTTAAAAAGGTTTAACATAGCTTGAGCCAGGATTCTTTGATGTTGCCTTACCATAGTGCTGAGGATCAAAGACCAAGAGCTAATCACCAAGGCCTTAGGGTGGCGATCAGTGAAACCTGCATAAAGGGCAGGCTCCAAACTGCAACCTAGGCCTTCCAGCCCTGGTCCCTCAGGTTTCACAGCAGGGCAAATGATGTCTCCTCCAGAAGATTTTGGAATTCAGGGATGACACAGGATTTAGGCTTGTTAGGGATCCCTGAAAGGTTATGACCTGCAACTTATAATTGTACCAAAACACAAATCTGAAATGGTCTGATGAAAAGCTTGTATACTGTAATATGGCCAGTGGGCAGCTGATTGCATACAGGACCACAACTATTGTATCCTACAGGGATTTCCAACTTGGGACCTAGGAGATCTCTGGACAGATCCCTTCAGTATAGAGGAGCCTGAGTCCCAAAGGACTGGGCCTAGCCTCCTGTACCTTGTCTCTGTGTGTTCACACATTGTGGAGAGCCTATCCATTTGGCCTGTTGACACCTCTCCAGCAACAGGAAAGCAAGCCCGAGGCCTACAGTACACTTGGTTGAGTGAGCCTGTTACCATCCCACCATGGATCAGGACAAGGAGCAGCCACACCCACTGGGAATTCTGGAGCTGTGAACTCTTCTGAAGATGGATCTTCAACAAAAGAGTTCTGAAAACATGAGCAGCTGCATGGCTGCCAAGACGAAAGAATCAGGAAGTTCACTGTTAGTCTGTAGCAAATCCACTCAGTGACATTCAAGACCATAGGCCCAGCTTTCAAAAATAGTTTTTCAGGTCACAATCCTGGAAATACTTATTACTTCATTTACTTGGCCCGCATGGACATCAGCTTAAATTAACATTGGTTACAATATATTTATTTTCCATATTCCTTATTTCATTAAAAAATCATTAAAGATGCAAGGGAAATCTTTCAAAGTGATCATTAACAGCTACACATTATACAAATAGATCTCTTAGAGTAGAGAAACAGTATTTCATTGCACAGAGGGAAAGTTCTAAAGATTTCAGTCAACATTAGCTCAGTACATTTAAAAATATAAAAATAATACAAAAAGAAAAACAAAGTAGAATAGTTGGTCCTATGAGGCACTGGAAAGGTAAAAAATGTTATTACCTTGATATAATTGATAAAAATATTTCTTATTGTATTTATAAAATCTAATGCTCATTGGCTACGATCATCTTTACAAATAATTGGTCTTGAGCAGTGACATTCTGACTTACAAAGCTTCTCAGAGCACATGGCTAGAGCCTAGTTTCATTCCAGCTGTGTTTCATTGGTTGTTCTTCCTTTCTCTGCCCTTGGACTTGCATTGAGGACTCTACACAAAACTAATGACTTGTCTAGAATAACTGCTCAGCAAAACTAAAATGCACATTCAACTTACAGACTGAGCACAAACCTTTTCTATCTTTTTTACATACCCTTACAGGTCCTTGTACAGTTTTACATCTGATGGCCCCAGGGAGCAACCCCTCTAGAAGCAAGAGCCCATGGATTCTGGGGAGACAGCGCTCACTTTACCAGCTCCCTTCTTCGTGTGTAGGTTTGTGAGTGGCCCAAGAGCATATCTGCTGTGTCTCTGACAAATGCACAGGACACTTAAGACAAGAGACTCATCTACTTTTTCCCAGACTGGAAAAGTCTGAGTTCTTCCTATGAATGTTTGTTTTTAATATACCTTGCTTCTAGGAGAAAAATCTTTTAAAACCCATTAGTGAATGCCTACGTTCCAAGTGCCCTGAACTCGGGCCCATGACTTTTTCCTTAAGAATGACTCTGCTCTTTTATGGACTGGCTAATGATGATGCACTATAACACTGAACACCTCACCCCTGACAGTGTCCTGCCCTTGAAGAGCTGGCGCTGCTCATGTGAGGATGCGATCATCTGTGTCACAAGGTGAGTGTGTACATCAGAGTATGTTGGTGAAAGGCTGCTGGCTACGAGATCTTTGGCGTCACACTTGTCATCACCAGGTGCCCAGTTAGCAATTCTGAATCCAACTTTATTCCTTCCAGACCACTAAGAAAATGTGAATTAGCGTTGAGGATAAAATGAAAACAGGATGAAGCTTTGCCTTTAGATTCACAAATTCAGAAGAAGCTTCTTTCATCTCCTTTATCAACAACCACAATTTTCTCTTCCTTAGACACAGTGTTGCCATTTGCATCTATAAGACTTTCTTCTTTCTAAGCAGATACCTCCTACCTTTCCAAAGGTAAATAGCAGGGAACTGGAGGAAAAGTATTTTAAAACATACAAAGTCCAATGAAATAAAAAATGTTAGAATGACAACTTTCAAAGACAGTTTTATGTTTCCATTACAAAGAAGCAACTTAGGACATGTATAAATGAGTTGAAGATGTATTAGGCTCATAATGACATGTTTTGAGGTGGGTGATTTAATTGAAAAAACATGAGACAACTATTACAGAGTCAAAGTGAAGATTCCCACATATCTATTTGTCATAAAGACCCTGCTTATTCACTCTGTCAATCAACTTTTAGTGACTTAGGAGCTAAACGCAGCGTAGGTTGTGTTGCATGCCACTAGATGGCACCATGTACAAATGATAGTTTTTCCCATCAGCATGAAGGAAGGCAGTGCTCTCTCTGCTCACAGCTGTGTGGAAACAGGAAGTGGCACCCTGGATGATGGAGTGGCTCCTGTGAAATGAACTGTTGTGTTTGAACCTTCTAAGTTGGAGAGCAATCTAACAGCTATTACTTTCCTCAAAAGGAGAAGGAAAGCAGAATTCTTAGTGAAAATATTTTGACATATGGGGTACTGTATGTATGGAAGTTGTCATCCACTTGATAGGAAACATAACAGTTTTGTGATAGATGCTTACCCCATGAGGAATCAATCACTCTTCCCTTTTCTAGTGGTGGGAGGTTGAACCAAAAACCAAGCATCTGAAGTGAATTCCAACAGCCCTCAGTGGCTTCAATACCTGTTATGCTCAGTATTTCTGTGTTGGTTCTTTTTAATCAAAGCTTTTAGTAAAAATTTTGAAATTGATTCATCTGGAGAGCTAAATTTTTGCTGCCTTCTACCTTTCATATAGCATTGAGGTTTCCTTGAACATCCAGTTCAGATTTCCAGTTCTTGATTTCTTGAGATGATTTCCAGTAATAAGCAATCTTGACAAGTTAATTTTATCTCAAGATGCAATAATGGACAGTAACTCTTTCCTCATTTTGCTTTTAAAGGTTATTTAAATTTTTAATTTAGAATACAGCTTTACTCATCAGTACAAACATTATCCACTGACCTTGTTCATTAGTGCAATCTCCTCCTTCCACAACCAATGGAACCAATATTTTATATATGGAAATTTTAATGAACAGGGTGACTAGAGAAACAGTTTATGGAATAGCTCTCAAAAATAGAAGATGAAAAAATGGTATGTAAGGATGGTTCCTTAATAATGAGAATGGAGGAGTCTGAGAATATTAAGTAAGCAAACAACAAGAGGGAACATGTGGAATGAGGGGAGAAAATGTGTGAAATAATTTCTAATTCAAATGCAATTAGCAATGTGGATACCTTCATCCCAAAGACACCTCAGTCAGGTTCTGAAGGTTCCCACTCAAGCACAGGATGCTTCTTGTTCAGTCTTCGTTTGGTCACTGGGCTATTGTTGACTCTTTACTCCCACTGCTGGGTGAACTGAGTCCCTATGTTAAAGAGCCTGTGATGGTCCCAAGGAAACCATAGTTTACACTAAGTAGTCTCTTGGCTAACATTTTATAGGATAAAAGGACTAATTAAATAACCTTTGTAAATGCTACTGAACAGTATTAAAGCAAAGATTGAAGAGAAAAAAAATGCACCAAGTTTCTACTGCCAGATTTGCAGGAATGGTCTTGATGTCATGAGTTCAAAACAATAATAAAAATTTACAACAAGTAACGAGGCTAGAACGCTAGGGGTCCTATGAGAGAGGACAAGAAAATGATAATAACATAAGATTGAATGCTGAACAAGTACATCGCAGGTTAGAATAATTTTCTTCCAAGTCAAAACTACTTGAAAAGCATATTGCAGGCTGAGAAAAAGACTAGCTGACTGTTTAAATGATTCAAGGCAGAGTTCATTGTCATTTTCAGACTGATGAATGAGGCCTCACAATAGAAGTCCAGCATTTTAAAATTTGAGATGATCTAATCTTACCCCCTATTTTTCGGGTAAGGAAACTGAGCTCTAGAGAGTTTCAGTGCTTTTCATAACGTAGCACAGCCAGACAGGACCAAATCCAGAGTGGTTTTCTAATTTCCAGTTCAGAGGCCATTCCTTCAACCACCCTATCCCTCAGGTAGACAGAGCCCTGAGGGGAGTCAGTGTGGGGCCATACAATCACAACATTAAGAGAACTTCAAAGAGAACATGTCTGGTAAGAATCAGAGGAGGAAGACCCTGCCGATGCAAGATGAACAAATTGTCAAAGCCTGGAAGCCTTTGCTACCTTTTTCCAGGGCAGGATGACAAAGGTCAAAGGCCAGTGAAGCAATGCCTGCTAACTGAATTGGTTAACCCAACCTGATTTGTGAGACAGTGAGGCAGATCTAGTTAATAATACCAAACATTAACAATAGTGCTAACAAAAACCAAAAGTCCTTTTACCACAATACTTGTAGATACTCAATAATAAGACCTTTAAAAAACCACTTCAAATTGCATATTACAAACACACATGTCCTGAAGAAATGTTTGTGTGGCTGAACATGAATTATTCTTTTCCCTCCAATGCTAAGCTTTATTCCCAAAGGGCACTGGATAGGCCCCCTGCCAAGGCATAAGGAACCTTAGTTGTTTGACTTTTGGATTTAGATTCTTCACTTCCCTGATACAAATGGTAATGCTAGTTCTATAAGTTCTAGAAACAACACTCATGGGAGGATTATCTGAGACACTTGATGTACACGATTTATATCAAAAGTCTGCAATTTCTCTGTAAATTACTAATCTGAAATAGACAAAAGAAACCGTCCACAGCTTCAACTTCAAATGATTTGAACAAAAATAGAACGAGCCATGGACAGTGTCTGCATCCCTGTCCAATTTGATGTAAACAACGTTTGTAGAAATTGGGTTTGTTAAGAAAGTTTATCCATATATCTGGATAGCAATAAAAAGCGTTTCCTAGGAAACTGTAAGATCCTGTACCATACAGCATACAGCCCAACTAAGAGGAAAATTAGGTTGATTTCTAAATTCAAGGTACAAATTTATACAATTTTTAACTCCTGTGATGCTGTCCAAATAAAGTGGGCGTGTACATTGGTATTGTATCTGTTTTCTTTCTCTCTCCTGCTGCCATCTTGCCTGTGAAGCTCATTGGTCTCCTCTGGACTTCCTCCCCGGCAGTGTTTCCCTGGACAGCCACAGACTCCCGTGCATTCTGTCCTTCATGTTTAGTTCCAGCGTGGTCAATATTGCCCTTCTGCTGCTAAAGACACTACTGTTTCATGTCTTCCCATTTCTTCCAAGACAGCTGCCAGCATGCTCAGGTTTCCATCTGGGAAGTTCTGTGCTTCCCAAAGATCCAAGATTACACCAGTCGGGCTGGATTTGGTGGCAAAGTAATTCAAGTACCTGTAATTGGGAATGGAAAAATGTGCTGAGAGGAATGCTTTATGGGTCTATTTTTTCATGTGCTTTTCTGGGCTAACCCTTCCTGTCTTGAAATATCTTAAATCCCACTGTGGTTTCCATGAGCCACCCTAAATGACTAGTCTACATCTAATCAGATCAACCCCAGACAGGAGATGTGATGTTTAACTTCGTTAACCTCAACTCTGAGTAAGATAATTTAAGAGACAAGATGTCTGTGGGTCATATCCTAAGGAGGAAATCAAGAGGCTTGTTTTCTTCCCAGCCCAGCCTCTGAGGATCTTTGACAGGTCACACCACTCCTTTTCTCAGTAGTCATGGCAACTCTCTACGGAGTCCAGGTTCCCGAGTTCTCTCTATAACTTACTGTCAGGGCTGTGTTAGCATGTTAATTATCTGTCAAGCAGTAGGCTTGGTTCAACTGGAGATGAGAAACAAGAATTACTCTAGTGAATGGATATATTAGGGGGATTTAGCCCATCAGCTTGGCTAAGTAGATCACAAAACTTGGTACTTACACACATCAGATAAACCCAGAATCTCTCTTTGAACTCTGTTTGCAAGCCTATGGTTTTGAGGTACAGAGAAGGAGCTTAATACATCTTTGCAGAATGAAAAGTGGATAGGTGGAAAAAAATGATTGCTGTCTTCTGTGTAACAGATATCATCCTGGAGATCTGGGTCTGACAGGTCTGTGTTAGCACCTGGCTGTGGAGCCCGGCTACACCCACCTGTCCAGGTTGAGCTTATGGGCCAGCATCCGCCAGTCATGGCCACGGGTCTGTGGGGCATCCAGGCTGCTGCAGAGCTTCTGCCGGATAGGGAGAGGGATGCTGAATGCGCTCGGCCCTGTGACAGTGGTGATGGTGCTGGCTGGATCCAGCAGCGGCAAATCAATGCCAGTGGGTTCCTGAAGGAATAACACAGCATTATTTCTGAAGACAAAAGCAATCCCTGTTGAGCCAGTCAACGTGATGGTTTGCTCTGAGTGATAAGGAGAACGAGTGTCACCATTCTCCTTCCTGCCCTCAAAGTTATGAGTCACTCCAGGTAACCTGGCTGAGAGACAGTGGTAGATTTTGAGCTACTGTTGCACAGCCCTGCATTTATGGGTCTTTGGTCAGGACTGGGCTAGTTATAAATCACTGATGTGATTCAGTAAGGGCTTTTCTCATGGAGTTCTCTGGGAGGAAAAAGAAGAGAATGCTCCTAGAGGGTTAGGTTTCAAGAGGGCACTTCTTTGAGAATGAACAGATCTGAGATTAGGAAGCTGGAAGTCAGAGCTTCTAGAAACGCTCTGACCTTGAGGAGGATACCCTGGGAGGGAGCCCCAGCAACTCTGCAGCCAGCCCTTCAGAAGGTGACTCCGACTTTTACAGGGTGAAATGGAACAAGGCTGAATGATATTAAGACAAAAGAATTTTAAGAAAATCAGAATATTGCCCGAGGGCAAGCTGCTAATGGCATCCTCCAATTGCTGAACATCCTTTTTTTTTGGGTCTAATTTTAGTAGAGAAAACCATAAATTGGCTCTTAAAATAGTCTCAGCTCATAAAACAGCACAAATGCAAAAATCTGAATTTCATCTGCAAGAGAAACTCTAATCATTTTCTAATCACTTCTGCTGGTTAGAAAAGCAAAAGCAAATGTTGCCTGGGAACTATTAAAGCAATAAAAGAAAATCTACTTAATGTTAGTGTGCATAATTAATTGCTAGAGGATGAGTACCATAGAGAATCTCAGCCTTCAAGAAGTCTCTGGTGCTTAGCTTGGGGTCAGTGCCATTGTTGCTCAGAGACCCCACACCCTGGCCTGCACTGTCTCAATGGCCTCTGCCATTGTGAGAGTCCTGTGCTGTGGGTGGCAAGAAGGGTCTGAGCTGCCTTCCTGGCAGTGTAACTTGCAGTGTGTTCTGTTTCCTAGGCTTGTGTAATCCCACTGCACAGGGTGCAACCAGGGGCTTGGAGGACACTGTAGAGCCACACTAAATTGGGGCCATAACATGCACAGTGGTGTTGGCTGCTATCACAGTGTTTGGCCTCACAATCTAAAGCTTGGCAGACAGGTTCTCTTGGTTCCTTTGTGCCAGCCCCAGCACATACCAGGATTTAGAGGGCTAAAGGGTGTGGAACAGATGAGGGCAGTGGGGGCTGGAGTTCCTGAGTGAGGACTGCAGCCGACAGCTCTTTCCTCAGCATGGGGCTCTTACTAAGGGATGAGAGGGGAGAGTTCTTGACCTCTGGGTGTAGACTTTAAAGAAAGGTAACCAGGAGAGTGATCTGAGGGCATGTGCCAGTGTTTATTAACAGATTCATATTTGGAATGTCCCAATGCTTATGTTAGGCACAGAATGTAAGGGATGAGCTAAGCGATGGAGGTAAAGAGAAATCTCATGCTGTTTCCACAACCTAGTGCCATCACCTGTGTTGATGTCTTCTTGCTTCTTTTCTAGACAACAGGCTTAAAACCAGACCTACCAAGCCCTAATACAATACTATCCCAATTGTACCTGCTCGGTAGTGGAGGCTGCGATCTGCAGGGGAGGAATCAGCTTCTTGCAGTGCTCCCTATGCTCACCTGGAATGCATCTTGTGCATCTGCCAGACTCGTGGGGTGGGTGTGCATCAGTATTTCTCTCTCCCTTCTCTCTCATTCTCTCATTAAGAAGTGTTAAATGCCCGTCTCCTGCATGAAGTCTCAACTCTTTATTTCCTCTATCAGGCTGTATTAATCGTACATATTAATGGGGTTCAGTGATATTTCCATATATGCATAAAACATGTACTGATCAAATTCAGCCACTCTGTCCCCATATTTTCTTCCCAATCTCTGATAATCACTATTCTAATTTTAGGACAATTATCTTTAACTTCCACTTATGAGAGAAAACGTGGTACTTTATGTCTCTAGCTTATTTCACTAAACATAATGCCCTTTAGTTCTATCCATTTTGCTATAAATGACAGAATTACATTCTTCTTTAGATCTGAATTCATATATTTCCTTACCAATCCATCTGTTGAAGAGCATTTTGTGGGTAGTGTCACAATAAACATGGCATGTAGGAATCTCTTTGGTTTGCTGATTTTATTACCTGTAGATACCTACCCAGAAGTGAGATAGCTGGGTCATATGGTGGATCTATTTTAAGAGTTCTGAGGAACTTCCATACTGTTCTCCATAATGGCTATACTACTTTACATCCCTACCAGCACTATACAGTAAACAACTGGTCCCCTTTCTCCATATCATCAGCATTTTTCTTATTGTGTGCATAATAGCCATTCTAAGTAAGGCAAAATGATATCTCATTGTGGTTTTTATTTGCATTGTCCTGATGGCTGATATTGAGCATTTTTCATATATTTATTGGTCATTCATATTTCTCTTTTTGAGAATTGTCTATTCAGAACATTTACTCAATTCAAATTGGATTGTTTGGTTTTTACTATGTTTTTTGAGCTCCTTATGGATTCTGGATATTAACCTTCCATCTTTTGAATAGCTGGCAAATATTTTCTTCTGTGGTCTAGGTTGACTGTTCACTCTGCTGATTGTTTTTCCTTTGTTAGAGAGAAGCTTTTTAGTTTGATGTAATTCCAGTTGTCAATCTTTGCTTTTGTTTTCTGTGCTTTCACTTATAAAGAAAATCATTGCCTATACAATTGTCTTGAAGTATTTCCCTTGTATTTTTCCAGTGGTTTCAGAGTTTCAGGTCTTACATTTAGATCTTTGATCCATTTTGAGTTGATATTTTAAAATATTGGTCAAAGTAAGAAACAGAGATCAAGTTCTCACTTTCTACATTTGGATTCCCAATTTTTCTAGTACCATTTATTGCAGAGATGATCCTTTCTCCATTGTGTGTTTTGGTGCCTTTATTGCGAATTAGTTGGGTGTTGTTATGTGGATTTGTTCCTGGGATTTCTATTCTGCCGCATTGGTCTACACATCTTTTTTATGCCAATACTGTTCTGTTTCAGATAGGATAGCTCTATAGTTTGTCTTAAAATCAGATATTGTGATGTCTTCATCTTAGCTTTTTGCTCAAGATTGTTTTGGTTATTTGGGGGTCTTTTTTGCTTCCATTTGAATTTGTTTTTTTCTAATTCTTTAAAGAAAGTAAATGGTATTTTAATGAGAACTGCACTGAATCTGTAGATTGCTCTGGTTAGTATACACATGTTAACAAAATTAATTCTTCCAATCCATGAACATGAGAGGGCTTTCCATTTTCTCATGTGTTTTCTTCAGGTTTTTTTAACCAGTTTTGTAATTTTCATTATGGCTATCTTTCACTTCCTTGGTTAAGTTTATTCCTAGGTTTGTTGTTGTTGTATTGGTAGCTTCTGTGAATGGCCTTTCTTTCATGATTTCTTGTTCAGCAAATTCATTATTAATGTATATAAAAGCTATTGATTTTGTATGTTGATCTCTCTTTGGATTTTGTATTATCATTTATTGATTTGCATATATTTGATGATCCTTGCATCCTTGGGATGAGACCAACTTCATCACGGTGAATGAATTTTTTGTTTGTTTGTTTGTTTTTTGGTACGGGGGATCAAAGTCAGGACCTTGCACTTGCCAGGCAGGTGCTGTGCCTCTGAGCTAAATTCCTGGCCCTCAGTGAATGAATTTTTGATGTGCTGTTGAATTCAATTTGCTAGCATTTTGTTGAGAATATTTTCATCTGTGATCATCAGGAATATTGGTGATGGGTCTTTTGTTGTGTCTTTGTCTTGATAGCAGGGTAACGTTGGCCTCATTTCATGGAATCTATAGTGAGAGGAGCAGCACTGATTCTTCTTTAAAAGATTACTCCCTGCTCTTAAGCAGTGAGGGATATTTTCATGGCCTGCTTTGATGGCTGGCATTAGGCCACAGAAGTGGCACATGTGAAATGCAGAGCCTATGTCAGATGTGACATTGGGGCACCATGTCTTCACAGTTCCCACTTTGGTTCAGGTGGCCTATTCTTAGTGTGGGTTGTCACAACTCACACCATCCTCACTGTTCCCACTGTTACACCCACGGGTGCCCCTTGTACTGTTCTTCTCCCTTTCCACTGATCTCATACAGACTAGACAAAGCCTGCTCTCACCAGGCCTGTGCCCTGATGCTCCCACAAGCAAACCTATGAGAGTGTCCTTCGTGATGTCCTCGTCAGGCACTCCCACTGCTCTTCTGCATTCTTCCCATTCTGCCCTGTGGTTGTATTTCTGTATTACTTCCTTTAATTCCTCAGAGGTCAGAGTATTTTTGTCATTGTTAGAACTCATGCATGTAGAAGCTACTCAATGAATATTTGTTGAAGTGAGAGAAAATATTGTTTCCTAATACAGGAAGAAGATGAATCCAGTTCCTGATTGTATGGAATTCCACCATGGAGTTGTGTGCTGAGCTGCCTTCCAACGAAATGTAACTAGGGATGATTCTCATTACTAAATCCTGAAGTTAAGGGCCAATTAAAAATGGGCATGGTTCTCAGGAAGGTCTGCTCACTCATGCATGTTCCCCTTAGTGAGTAAAGAACACTCACAACTTATGTAGGCGTCAGCATCCTGAGCACTCCAACCCTGCCTGCTCTGCCTACTTCTTTTGATGTAGAGGAAACAAGCTCTACAGGCCTAATTTCATGTTTCTCTTACTGGGGGCTGACAATAGCCTTCAAGGTAAAAGAAAAATACATACATACATTTACATTTCATCTAGTAACTTCAGTTGCCATTAGTTTTTCCTTAACTTCCAGGTAAGAGTGGAGATTACTCTCACAGAATGCTTATTACAATAATCGTTTATGATATTGGTACCACCTGTCTTTGATATTATGATTCCCTTAGTTAAACATATGATTTTTCACCATTAACCAAACAGCTGCTATGGGTGACAGCACACATTTCAGGGCCCTGTGCATGCTCAGCACTTGTGATAGTACTGTGCTGTACCCCCCCACTCACCCCAACCCTTTTTCTGTTTTATTAGAAAGGATCTTGCTATGTTTTGCAAGGCTTGCTTCGATCTCTTGGGCTGAAGCTGTCCTTTTGCCTCCCCTTCCCAGGTAGCTAGAACTACAGGTTTATGCCACCATGACTACCTTCTAACTCTTTCAAAAAAACATTTTGAAAAACTAGACTTTCCCCATGGTCACTTTAAACATCTGATAGAAAACAGAAGAAGTAAATAGGTAGAATAACTGGAGCAGAGTGATGTTACACTGTACCTTTGTAATATTATTCTTTTACAAATTAAAGTGATATGCATCAGTAGTTAATAAAGGTCATAGGATCTAGCTAATGTCATTGGTCATAATTATCTAGGAAGCTATTATAAGGTGACTGATAACCCTAAAACTCTACCTTTTCTAGGATTCAGAGCCAGAAACAAATACAACCTTATGGTAAACAAACCTGAGAACATATGCCACCTCCTTTCCAATGGGAGCTAATTTATATTTGTTTACAGATTCTTTATTTATATCAGAAGTTTATCTTTTTGTTCATTTCAATAGAAAGGGAATGTGGAGTTTAAGTAGACGACAGATTAGGGTGGCAGAGTTTACTCAGGAACCTATTTATCCCAACAGCAATAAAAAAATGAACTCACCTCTTACACATGTTAAAGATCAAGTTCTGTTCCCAGCTTTTGCTAATGTTCACTTATCTAAATTTTACAATGGGTCCAACACACCAATTTAACCATGAGGAAATGGATGCAAAACGAGAAATAATGTCACACATTCCCAAAGAACTGTTCACTTGGGCACTTGCTATGACTGATCTTTGTCTATAGCTAAAACTAAACAGAGGCCTGGAAATAGAAGGAGCCAGCAAGGGGCACTTGCCCACTCTGGACAAACCGAGCTGCATGTCCTGCATGCTGCATGTCTCTGTCTCTATGGTGGGTGACCTGTTTGTTCTTTGCTGACCAGAGGGGCCCAGGTCACGAGGCTCTCTAAGTGACTGCCTGTGAATGCCCTTGAGCATGTGTGCTGAGGGCAGAGTACTCCTGAGAAGCTCACTCCTAGGAAACAGGACACTGGACTTGGAACCCCTGCTCACCAGCCGCCTTATGCCATGACCCTATTCATTTGAAAGCAGTCTTCTCTCTATTTATGGTTTGTTAGTCATATTGGGCCCCTTCTCCTGGTTTCTGATGAGGATCCAGTCTCAGGACTCCCTAGAGTCCATTGCTGAGCAGCACAGGGCCTTGAGCTCCCACTCCCGGATCAGTACCAGGTCCACACTGCACCCCAAGCACCTGACCGGAATTCAAATGCTAAGCACAGTGGCAGGACTCAGCAACCAGGCAGGCAGGGCAGCAGGGTCCCCTCGGTCCCTGCCGTCACCTCCACTCTGGCCACTCGTGCCCTCCTTAGCTGTCTGTTCCTGTCTCACACTCGAGCCAGCGCCTCCCTGGACAGGACTACAGGGCTCACTGCTGCCAAGTCCCACAGGGAATCATCTTTCCTTCATGTGGGCACCAGAAGACCTTACATTGTGATCACACTGTACCAAACTCTCCTTTCTCCATGAGGAGATGGAGGCCCAGGCCAAGGAGAGCGGGGAGCAGCTCCCTTTCATTTGTAGCTGCATCCGATCCACCTTTGCAGCATACAGAACACACGCTGAACACAGAACAAGAATCAAAGGGCTAGACCTCCTCTCCCGGGTCCAAAATTCCGCAGCCTTTGTTGTCTCTGGAGCTGGGTGGTTATTGAACTTTGCAGACCTGCTGGGCCTGGAAAGTGAAAACACCCTCCAGAGCCAGCAGGGGTGGTGCTGTGTGCCTGGGAGATAGGGCTGAGCATCCACAGGCCGGCGGTTGCCATGGCACCCTGACATGGAGATCATTCCTTATGAATGTCAACAAGGTCTGTGACTAAAGTTGTTTATGAGTCAAAAGTCTCATGAAACTACAGGAGGAAAAGATGACCGTGCCTCTGCTGGCTGTGGGAATGCAAGAGGGAGTGGCAGTGGGCTCCATGTTGCCCCGCCCTGGCTTGCTAAGGAAGGAGGTCTTTCAGTGGACTTGTGCAGCAAAGACAAGGGAGGTGGTTGACATTTCTTTCATCGCTATGCACGAGACAGTGAGGGAGAGGCAGGATTTTTAAATCCTCTGCCACTTGCTGTAGTTTTGAAACACAACTCAGCCACAGGACTGGGTTTAGCTCCACCAGGCCCTGGAAGAGGCTGCTTTCGCACCGTGTCCTTGCTCTTCCTTTGTTGCAGAGAGAAAGCTGATCACTTTTCAGGCACAGCCTGGCCCCAAGGGACAGTGAGCCTCTGGGCCTGTCCACTGCTTACAAAGGAGATTGAAATAGCAGTGACCACGGTCATCGCTATAATATAAAAATGCTCGGCTGCAGTTTGTAGAAATCTTAGCAAAGAAAGGCCAAAAATGATGAAGATTTTTCCAGGGAAAACATGTAGATTTTTGTTCTGTTTCTGGAACATTTCTTCTGATATTTGGAAAATGGAGTATGAGAGAGAAAGATCCAGAGATTTCTCCCTTAATAAACATGGAGGACAAAGAAGGAAAAAGTGTGGGTGTGGGGACTTTTCTTAACTTTTCCTCCACCCTGCACAGCAGCAGGACTGGGACAGAGGGCTGTGGGACGCGTGGGGAAAGTTCCCTGCACACACTCCTCCACTCTTATGCTTGAGGTGCAGATCTGCTCTCCAGAGTAAGGACATGGAAACTCCTTATCACTGCTCTGGGGACGGATTCCCTATTCTTATATGGCTGTAGCTCCCAGGTGCATTTAAAATATTACTCCTTAAACAAGGAGAGCTACACACAGTTTTTGAGGGTTCCCCAGGGCCTGCACTGAAGTATGTTTTGTCCCCTCTCCTCCGAGGGCCATTCTCCCCCAAGGCTGGGCCGGCCCAAGCTCCTTACCTCGGACACAGTGCAGTTGAGCTGGAAGATCTGCCCCTCTCCTTCCACCTGTCGCACACACAGTTTGCACACCAACTCCACTGTGTTCAGGCTGAATCTCTCCAGAGTGAAAGTACAGTGGAGGTTTCTTTGAGACCCACTCCAAATATGGTAAAAAGGAATTTCCTGAAGGACATAAAAGTGTCACAAATGAGGGACTTAGCCCCTGCTGTGAGGCGGCCTTCTCAGAATTACACATATCACCTCATTTTGTCTTCCTAACACCCCTAGGTGCAAGTAGATCTTGCTGCCATAGTCACATGAAGAAACCAAGGCCCAGAGAGGTTAAATAACTCACCCAAAGCCACACAGCTAATAAGTGGCAGAGTTTAGATTTGAACATAGTGAGTCGCTTCCAGAATAAACACACCTAAACAGTCTTTCATTTGCAAAAAAGAAAACAGGAAAAGAAAGCCACTATAAATGATCTTTTAAAAAAGTTTAGGAAGTTTCCAAAATAATATCCACACACACCATCATTGCTCATTAAAAGGAATCCCTACCATGACATTCTGGAGAAAAGCAAAGCAAGCCTAAAGGACACTGCACTGATTACATTCCCATCTTTTCATGCCTCTGTCTTCCCTCTGCTCAGGATAGGGAAGCCAGAGCTCACAGGGCTGGAAACTGCAGGCTCAACTAGTGCTGCAGAAAAGTTCTTGGTCTAAAAAGCACCAAACCCCAGACAGACATTAATTTCCTAAACGTCTAGACCACCTCACAGAGCCTGTCCTGGAACCTTGTTGCAATAAAGCAAAGGCTGATTCATGGAGATGGGAGGGCAGGGTGGCTGAGGGCAGAGACTGACACCAATTCTTGCCTATTTGGTAATTTGGGGCAAATTATTTAACCTTTCCATGCCTCAGTTTTTTTTACCCGCAAAAGAGAAGACAGAAGAATCTAAATCACAGCCCAGTGGGGTTAAAAGAGCGAATCCCAAGTACGTAAGAGTCTGGAGATGGTGAGCAATCAGACAGGGTTAGTGTTTACATATCCCATGTTATCATTTATAAGACATCCATTATGAGTGCTTAAAGAAATTATGAAAGGAAAGATCTGTGGGACTTTTAGACAGTGGCAGAAAGAAGAAAATGAGCGAAGCAAGAAGTGTCATAAGAAAATCAAAAGCCTGACCCCTCCCTCTGGGGTTGAGCTGAAGGAAGGCTGAAGTGTGCAGCCCTGCTCACCAACCAGTAGGTCTGCACGCCCTAACTCAGGAGTAAGCCCTCTGTGTAGGAGAGTAAGGACGATTGGCCCCTTCCCTTCAGGCTGTAAGTCAATGCTCACTGACCTGGATCAGGAATTAGCTGCTAGGCCAGGGGCAATGCAGGGCTGGGTTGGATTCACCTTTGAGAAGCTAGTTTGTCTGCATCTCCTGGCCTGGATGAGGCCCCAGGCATGGGACAGGCAGCCTCCTGAGAGTGCAGACTGACTGACAGTTGGTGACACCCCAACAGCCCCGAGATCTTCCCAAAGGTCCATACAATGGCACTTGGGACCAGTATGGTTATGTTTATGCTTAATATTTCATTAAATCCTGACTGTTCTTTACTTTCATGAGACATTTCAGTTCCCAAACAGGGGTGCCTTTACAGTAAGGGTGATAGCCTAGCAAGATCAAAGCCTAATTGTGTCATGTCACGCGAATACATTTGAAGCTCTTCTTATCAAGTCAAACATTTGCTATGACAATTAATGTGACAGAACTGGAAGTCTCTTATGTATTCAAAATAAAACAATAGTACTCTCTTACTACGGTTCTGGGGATTGAACCCAGAGGTTAATGCATGCTAGGAAAGCGCTCTACCACTGCTCTACAGCCCAGCCTCTTCATTTTGAGACAAGGTCTTCAAAAGTTGCCTAGGCTGGCCTCCAACTCACAGTCTTCCCGCTTCACGCTAAGTAGCTGAGATTACAGGCATTCACTGCCATGTCCAGTGATAGTACATTATGACAGGGAGAACTCTTTTTAAAGAATTTCATCAAAGACGTCCATCAGGTGCTTTTCAAAAATTCTGAATTAACTCAAACTATTTTGAAGAAATGAATGCTGGCATAAGAGTAATTTCAAGAAAGGGACTTTATTACATTTATATAAGTTTAATCCTCTTTCTTGGAGCTTTTGTTCAACCTGGCAGCTTTACCTGGTATTTAGCCAGCAGTTTGCTCCTCCAGAGGGAATGGGCAATGTCGTGGATCGACAGGCGCAGATTGTGGGTGCTGCCTTTGAAGTGAAGGGCCTTGGGATCTTCCAGGAGCTGTCCTCCCATCTGCCGCTCTAGCTGTAAGACTTCCTGCAATGACATGTCCCAAACCAAGTCATGTTACTGAATTTCCTCACATCAGTCAGCTTTTGTTAAATGAGTTTCTTCATCTCCTGAGTGGTCACCTGCTCTGCACAATACCATGAGGGCTACTTCTGTGGCCAGACACTGCCATTTTGGACAGGACTGGGCCCTCCTGCCAGGCCTGGACAGTGACTTCTGACCCCTTTGGGTAGTGAGTCCAGTGCAGGCTGCCCTTACCTACTGCAAGGGGGTACTTAATCAAAAACAGGGCAGTAACAGCCAGAACCCTACACTGGAGAAGATTTGATGAAAGAAATAATAGGTAAAAATATAGATAAATGTATAAGAACTAGATTTTTCACTTAACTTTTAGGGAAAGGGGCAAATAATTTAAAGACAAACCCATGCATTGGATCTGATAAAAATAACCAATAAATACTTGGAATGTGTTTCAGATATTTAGTTATGTGCAGAAATAAAATCATAAAAATTTTGTTTAATATTATCCATTGCATAATTCCTAATTACTAAAAAATTAGAATATGCTCATTATATGTCCTATTTGAGGAAAATATTCTCATACAAATTAGCAAGATGTTCAACAACAAATATTGAACAGTTATTCAGATTAAACTTAAAAAAGAACACTCATTTCTCAAGAATTGTGGCTGATGAAAAAATTGCTCCATACTTATAAAGATATAACAGGAAGATAAATTCTATATATACTTCCATTTCTCAAACTAGTTAATGGGAGTTAATGAAGCATTTGCAACTACAGCTGCAATTTTCCAAATAGCAGCACACAAGTTATCAATGAACAAAATGTCCTGTCTAAACCATCTCTCCTGTACTTTACTTCTCCCATGCCTTAACAGTATAAGATCTATCTATCTATCTCTCTATCTCTCTATATAAATTTGTGACCTATCTTTGTAAAATAGGGATCCAGGAAAATAATGAATTTTGTTAAAAGTATACAAGCAAAATATGACTTTCTTTAGTGATATTTCAGTAGAAAGTAGGGAGTTCAAGAACACAGGAATTCATTCAGAATGCTACCTTGCCATCTGCACGTATTGGGCACCTACCAGGACACCTGGGACCGATAGATTATGTGGAGAATTTCCAGTATGAGAACCAGATTACTGGATACCCAGGAATGTATACACTTTGCATGTGTTAAATTCAGGCGAATCCACACACCTGTCTAGCAACTGCAGAGCTGCCCAACATCAGGGATTAGATGAAAATAGCTCACTCCAAGCTGCCTCTTGAGTGGCTCTCAGTCTCTATCATCTATGGATCAGGCCACTACCATGAGCAATGCAAGCTACTGAAAGGTCCTACGAGGTGGAGAAAACGGTAGGATGTGGCATGTGGTCTCAGACAGGGAGCCTTCAACCTAGTGTTTGATGGAAGCCATGGGGCAAAAGTACTGATGTAGAGCAGCTGCCTGACAGTACTAACCTGCTCTCTACCATGCCCGGTGCAGAGGAGCTATTACTTGTGACAGATGCCTGACCAGCAAGCCAGCCACCCTGACACACATGTCATGTCTCTGGGCACTGAATGCTGTGCCTGCGTCTGCAGGCCTTGAGCGTCCCCTGTAGGCCACACAGAATCATCCAGCTCTGAGTCACACACTATCTTCCCAGACCACCTTGCCTGACCCTGTACAACCTATTCCTGAGCAAGAATCTGGCCACATGGAAATGGGAAAGAACAAAACTGAGGGTTAATTGCAGTTTCTTCTGCTCCAGCAGGAAGGCATAATGAGCTTATGTTGATCATGTTCACTGTCTAGTTAGCATAATAGAGAAAACTGATGTTCCCAGTGAACCTGGCACCTGACAAATTCTAAAGCTAAAATGATGTTTGTTTATAAGCCATTAGAAGAAAAGAAACATAATTAGAAATCTTTGAGATTACAGTCATGCCAATCAATCAGTTCTAGCTGCTTTCCAGTATGCCCTAATTACCTCATCAAGATGTCTAAAGAGCAATCGATAGTAATTATCTGATTACTATAGATCTTCATTACATCTAAATTATCTCCCTGGGATATCTAAAAGAAGATGCATTATGTTTCAGGAGGTAATTGTACCCAACAATGTATAATCCACACCCCACCCCTACAATCAACACAGACCATCACAGGACAGGATAGCACTATCAGTTTTCTTGGCAGGGAGGGCCACTGAGAGAAACCCTAAGTGCCTACTGGTCATGACCTTGAAGTCAGGGAATCTAATACCATAGCGTGAATGCAAAGTCTGGTTGGAGTCAGCCTAAGAATAAGGCTCAGGCCTTGGTTTCTTCAGCCATAAATTCAGATGTCACGGTGAAGAATTCTCCTAGTGAGGAAATAGTCTGGGATGGCTTGGATCCCTTTTTGGAAAGAAAGAACCAAGTAGAAAGTGCCATTTTCGTGAGAATGGGGCCAGAGAACACAGACTCTCCACATCTTAAGCCCTCCAGCTCTCCCTCAACCAAGAGGGAACCAGAGTGCTACACAGAATTGGGAGCAGCTTGACCCTCACCCAGCCTTAACCGGACATGAACCTATATGCAGGTAAACTACTCACCGGGATGTCACATGTTGAGCTCAGAGTTCTCTGAACATACCTGCTTTCATTTTCCTACCAGCCAGAAACATGACCGTGCCTTTTGTCAGTTTCTTTATAAAATATGTACATGCCTACATTAGCATGTCAAGATGTCATAGGTTGGATTATACACAGTTAAAACTCTGAGCTAAGAGAAGGAGACAGATGCACTAGTGGTGTCCTGTTTGGGCTCCCATGGCTCCTCGGGCTTAGGCTGTGTGAACTTCACTGCAGAGATTCCTAGCCCAGCAAATGTGCTCTCCCTAGAACCCTAGGGAGAAATTAGCCTAAGAGTGAATGATTCAGCACAAAAAGAATCTCTACCAAACTTTGATTTAACATGTTTTCCTGAAAAGTAATGACCATTACTATCATTATACACATGATGTTCATCTTCAAGAAAACAAAGTACAGATAAAAGATAAGACCCAAAGCATTGAAGGTATTCAAGCATAGACTGAAGACAATCAATAAAAAAAATTAATTGGAAAAACAATATAAAATCACACATGAGTAGAGATGATTCATCACACATAGTAAAACTGATAGTTGTGTGTTAGGGGACAGATATGGCGGGCTCAGGGACAGGCTAGCTCCTTAGGCTTTGGTTTCATATTGTCACAGTGTTAAGATGTCATTTGGGATATTTGAGATATGCAATAAAAGATTATACTTGAAATATGGTGGCACTTGTACTTCAAAAAGTACAATCCTGAATTTTCTGGATTCTTTCTACATGAAATCTTCTTGGAGTCAAGAAACTTAATACCATATTAATATATATGAGATACAAAAATGTAAGAGGACATAAAATAACAGACATAAAAATCCATATAATATAGCTTCACACATAGTTAAATGTTTTTCCTCTCCTTAATTTTGGGACCATTCATTCAACACCAGCGAGACAAGTAAGGCCTGCAGGAGCCAGGGGGTTTCTGGAACACACAGGCAAGGAAGTCCCCTGCACTGCCAGACCTGGGGAGGCAGGGTGGCTGACACATGAGCATGTGACCATGCTGAAGTGTGCTTGCTCTGAAGTAGCTTCTAGACAGACTGCTACTGGATCACAAAGGTTATTTCACACACTTTAAAAGGGAACAAGAACCACATATATTTAAGGTCAAAAGACTTAGGAAGACTTTAAGAAAAATGCCATGACCTCAGAAAGAAATGTCATAATAAAAATTAGGACCACCTGGCTCTTGTTTTTAGAACTATAAATGTCACCATCCTTTGCAGAGGTTGGCTCCTGCGCTCCCCACTCAGTGGTTTGTCCTGATCTGGCTGAATCCACCTGTTGCCTCACTGATTACATGAGAAGGGAGTCCTTGTCAAGTGTAGGCTTCCATCTTCATTCCTCTGACCTTACTTTGCAAAAGCACCCTCAAGAATGGGTCACTGACATGGCGTCCTTAACCCATCCCTCTATGATCTCTCTCTCTCTCTCTCTCTCTCACACACACACACACACACACACACACACACACGTAATGGTAGCATCACCAGATGCAGCTCCTCTGCCCCAGAGCCAGATGTACCTGGGGATTTGAGCCACCCTGTAGGGTGGGCCACTTCCTAAGTGAGTGCAGGCCTGAGTGAGGGCTGAATTGATCCCCAAGCCTGTGAAGAATTGCTCCAAGGGCAGAGACAAGGGACTGCACAGGAGAAACAAGCAGCTTTGCACAGTAACTGATTGAGCCAGGACATTATCCATGCCAAGCTGTTAGCCGGTGCCTCCTAAGAGCCATGATAAATCCAAGCTGTTTAAATAGCTTGTGTGCATGAAGGGAGCAGCTCTGGCCTGCACCCAGTCTCTGCAGACCGTAGGACCTGTCACAGGGGGCCTGACAGCAAGAGGCAGAACTGGGGACACACCTGGAAGTGGGCTGGTTCCTACGCTCAGGTCTCTTCCGTCCCACACGTTCACTCTTTGTGATGGTGAGGGATAGATGGCCCTTACCTCCTCTGCCTCTCTTGTCCTCTCTCCCACTCCCAGTCCTTCTGAGCCCAGGCACATTCCCCCTCAGTGACTGTCTCACATCTGTCACTCCCTAAGAATCCCAGGTGACAGAGTGGCACACATGCAGAGGCCCGAGGAACATCTAAGAATATGAGTCTCTGCCTATGGCAGTTAGACTGAAGCTGGACCCACATCTGGGAAAATCAGACTCAGTGCTGTGACTCTCAGCTCACCCTCCTCCTCCTGGCCCAACCTTCGCCTTCTGCTCACAGTCCTCATTTCTCCCTCTCCTTCTCTGCTCACTTGGTCTTCTCCTCACCCCATCTTCTGCTCACCTTCTCCCTCTGCTCAGCCCTCCTCAGCTCCTCTCAACCCAAAGCCCCCTTGTCCTGCACAAACTCCCCTCTGGCATCACCACTTCAGACTGTACCCCC